CTCTCCTCATAGGACTTGTGCTCAAGTCCCTTCACCAGCCTCGTTGCTCTTCTCTGGACCCGCTCCAGCACCTCAATATCCTTCCTGAACTGAGGGGCCCAGAGCTGAACACAATACTCAAGGTGTGGCCTCACCAACGCAGAGTACAGGGGAAGGATCACTTCCCTGCTCCTGCTGGCCACACTGTTCTTGATGCAGGCCAGGATGCCAGACTGCAGGTGGCAGTCTTTTTCAATTCCAGCCTTCTGAAGTTCCTGGAAGCCCAGGATGGGAGCCCCTAAAGCCTGACTTTTCTGATCTGTGGAGCACTTCCAGCTCCAGCTGTCTTCACTGGAAATTGGTCATGTCCTCAGTGTTCTTGGGCCTATACTGATGTAAATCCTCAGGTTTGTGAGTTGGATACCTGAACGTGAGGTGGTTCACTAACCAGTGTGCTCCTGTGCTTTCCTCAGGTGCATAATGACTGGCATGGCCTCCGGGAGCATCGTGGTTTTCTACAATGACTTCAATCGTTGGCACCACGAGTATCAAACCAGATACTGATCCTCACAGCGACCGACATGAGCACTGACATGGGCAGCTGTGCCAGAAGGGAACTGAACACAGCATGCCTCTCTCGGCCTCGAGCCACACGGTTCCTTATAAATAGTTATATTACATCTGAATGTAACTTAAATTTGCTGGAAGAAGCAACCTATTTTTTAAAGTTAATTGCTATTTTTGTAGACCTCGCTTGACTTTTTTGGGGGAAGGGCAAAGAAGCAGAAAAACAGCTGCTGGGTTCTGTAGTTAAAAATCTATATTTTTAGTCACAATGAGAAGTCTATTTTGATCCCTGTATGTAAACAAAACCTAAAGATGGTTAAAACTCACATTCTAGTTATATTATGAAGAAACAGATTTTCCATCTGAAGCTTTATCTATAACTTTGAGGAATATATGATTTTAACATAATGGAAATTAATTATGATATTTGGGGAATTTTAATCTGTTCTACCTGTACCACACTTTGTCTCGTACTTTTCCAAATGATTGTACTACATCAGCACTGAAGTTTCTAGGAATCGAGGGGTAATATTTAAATTATGGTTAATGTAATTTTAAACTTTGCAAATCATTTCCATAAATGTTACAATTCAAGCATGTTTCTAGGCCTAGGCAATTAGTTCTTTTTTTAGTTGTATGTTTTGTGCATTTAAGAGAGAGAAATCGGGAATGGAGTTTGTGTGTGAATCCCTTTAGTTGCTATCTGGCATCTCTTTCAAAGCACACCAAAATGTGGATTGTTCCTCAAAATCAGAAAGGCTGTTTTGAAGACTTTAAAGTAGAAACTGAAAGAGGGAGGTATTTTTTAGTAGGTGAGGTGCAAATTCCAAAGCACACCTCTGCTGGTGGACCGTAAACACGCCGAGGCAGTGGCTGCTTGCTGGAGCACGGCCCCCATACAGCAGCAGAAGTACCAGACTTGCAGGCGACTTTCTTTCTTTTTTCCCCCCTCAGAATTCGCCCCTGGAATACTGTAGCACATGCCATGTTCCTTTTCTGCGTATAGCAACGATGTCTTTCATGTTTTGTTACCACCAAATCCAGCCAGATCCTGCCCAGTCATATTAAATTACCTCTTTCTTTTAGGAAAACAAAAAATAATTTATACTAAGGAACAATAAGTTATTTTGGTGTTGCACAAATCTACTTTTCTACAAGATTGCTGTGCAGAACTCTGTGAAAATATTTGTGAAAAGAACTGTTATTGTTTTGTAAGTCTGTATTGCATAAAAATCTTCTTTGTATGTTGTGATCTATATGAGTTGAAATTTACATTCCATATTGTATTGATACATACATTTCTCTTGCTGCCTACTAGAGCAGTTCCTGGTTTTTCTAAGCATTTAATTACTATTTCTTTCAGTAAAGATTTGGAATGAGAAAATACAGTTTGAGTGAAGAAATTAAATAAAATTACATTTGTAATTGAGGGCTTCAGTGCAGTACTGGGTTTTTGTGATTCCACAGTATATTCCCAACAGAGGAAAGAAGTGTCATGGCTAATGCATTTAATGTACTCTTGTTGCTTATGAAATGCTGATCTTTTCATTGCTTGGTACATTTTCATACCCAGGTGGTTATGGTGCTAGCAGGTGGTATCAGTTACTACAATCTTTGCCTAATCGCATCACATTTTGCTACACAAAACAAAAATGTAAGTGCCCAGTGTACCAAGCAATGCCATTTGCTGTGCAAAACTTGTACTTCACAGTTCCTTCAGTTCAACAACATTCATAGCCTCGTATCAGAAGCATTTGAGGGGTAACTGGTATGCTTTTGAAGTGCAACTTGCGTTTGTCTCAAGCCAGGGGTGGATTTCCTAGGCTGCGGGGTGGATGGGAAAAACCAAACAAGCAAAGGTGTTTTTGCCAAATGGAAATCCTGAGTATCTTCTCTTTCTGATCTCTGGCTGACTTAGGAAATGCTTTATTATTGATAGAAATAATAGTTTCTGATCTTAAGAGACAAAATATTTCGTAGGGCACTGGTTTGGTAGATTGCTTGTTTCAGAAATGGCCCTGTTTGATCATTTGCTGCTTTCCCAAACCGAAAGCACAGTTGTACCTGTGTGTGCTGTCCTGAGTTACATCCAGCCAGTGTGATGGCATGAACACTCCTTGGGGAAGCAGCAGCTGGTGCAGCCTCGTGTCCTGCACATGGAGTATCCTGCAGCCCTTCTGTGGGAAAGGACATCTTCACCCTCTCTGGAGGAGGTATGTGAGGACACCCTCGTTCTGGACTGCTTTGGTGAGTAGGACATGCCCCTCCTTCCACAGATAAACCCACATACCTCAGGCTCCACTCTGGGGATCCAGGCGTGCACTTGGGATATCAGCTTTGGCTGCACTAGTCCACATCACACTGGGATGAGATGGCAAAGCAGGGTTAAATTTTCAACTATTCAGGTATTAGTCTGTGCAGGGAAACACCTGTGTCACATGGATTGCCTAAAAAATGTTTAATCAGCAGGTGCCAGGCATTAACCTGCAGCTGGGCCTCATTTGGCTGTTACTTGCAGAATATTCCTGAAAAGAGGGACTGACTCTTCTCTTCAGATGCAGAGGGAGCATTTGTTTATGTGACAGTCCAGACTTTCTTCTGTTCTGCTAAGTTCAGTGACCTGCTGTCAGCTGGATTTTATGGGAGGTGCTCTGGAAAGTAATGTTTGCTGCTGCTGAGAGTCAGAGTGGTCAGCAGCAGTGCTGCACGTTTGATTTGTGGAGGAGTACTTGGCAGAAGTAGCTTGAAACACCTTCTGTTTTGTGAAAAATTTCTGATGGAAACATTGTAGGATCTGGCAAGAGGTGATGGGGTGGTCAGGGTGGGGGTTTATTATCCCTGATAAAATTCCTGCTCTGCTGGTTTAGCAGTCAGCACATCAACTGTCCAGAAGAGCTAATCTGATACCAAGGTAATTGGAAAATAATTTTATTGTAGCTGTTAGATATATTGAATAAGAATGGCCTAGATATGGTGACTGTCCAGATTGTAGCTTTTTCATTTTATGTCCTAAATTCCATATTCATGGAGATTTAAATGTTTGTGGTATGTCATCTCTCTTTTGCTTTCTCTTTCACCCAAAAATAATTCTAAAGGAGTAAAGATGTCTATATTGTTCTTGAGAAACTGGTTTTATCCTCATTAAATAAACCCAGAGACAGGCTGTTCTGAGGGTGCTGCTCTAAACCAGTGAGACCTTTCCCATACTGGGTTAGAATGTTTGTGTAGCACTTGAGTCACTCACTTGAATTTACCACATGATACAACATTACATGAAATCCAAAATAGTTTAATTTTATGTGGAACCAAGCTAAGATCTTCAGTAAACTAATACAGTTAATGATGACCAAAATATTTTCTGTGAATAGGAATCTGAACCCCTTTTTGGTGAGCACAGAGGCAGTGGTGTAACACTTGACTGCTTCCTAGCAAACAGTTTTTTTATTCCAAATAGATTAGGAAACCGAGAGCCTTCTCATAAAGGCCAAACATTGGAAATCACATGGTTGGATCTTGCTTCTGATGTCCTGGATGTACAGCAGGGTGCTAGAGTGTCTCCAAGCTCCAAGAATCACTAGGATGCTCCAAGAACCTGCTGAAGGATGCCTGGTTGCTTTTATCATATATCTTTGGCAACCTCTTTCATATACATTTAGTGTGATTTTGAAGGACAGAGAAGAAAAGCAGCATCAGATGTTGCAGAAGTGGCCATTGTTGGTCTTGCCACCACCTATCTGAACTGTGAACCTCTGTTTCTGAGAGAGGTCAGTGAGGTCTTAGCAGATTCACTTCCTGAAATTACAGGACTGAACTTCCCCAGCTCAAACAACAAGCTTCACACTAGTAGAGTAGATAAGCCTATGTTTTGGTTTGGTTTATTTAAAAAGGGGAAAAAAAAGGCAGGAGGACAGAAAAGGGAAAATTCAGAGTAGAGAAGTAGGTTAATATTACATCCTGGTATCTTACATATATAATTGATTTATGTATTTTTAAAAATATATAGCTGTTTAATTTAGGAAATATTAAAAAAGTTATCAATATAAGATAACTATTTAATTTAGGAAAAAATCACCCTGCAATCTGTTACTTTTAGTCTCTACTTCCTCCTACCTTCTTTTTCCTCAGTTACTCAGTTTAGATGGGGTAAACTATGTGTGCATCTGAAGCAAAGAGATCTTTGCTTACTAGAGTAGTCCAAGGTAAGATTTATGGACCTGTGTAAATATTTTTAACAAACAGCTGCAAAGCATGAGGCAGTACTTAATGAAAGTAACATCATCATAAAACATCATCAGGGAATATCAGTGAACATAGTGTTGTGCAGGAGAGGATTCAGTTTTGGGACTTCAGATGAAAAACAGCAGGAATGGCTCCACTGTGCTATTATGCTATTACCTGAAACGACTGGGATGTTTTAAAATACTTTTTTTTAATAATTAATTTTTTTTAAATGCAGGCATGGTGGCAGTGGTGCTGTCACTGTGGAGTGTTTGTAGAAACTGGCATTTGATCAATATCAAAATGGTCCATGAATTTCAGCTACTTTTATGAAACAAAAAAAGGTGACTGTCCTGGATCATTTTGTTTCTATAGTTGTTTCTTTCCCTTTATAACAGAAAAGAAATTGTAGACCAGAACTATGCTATTTTTACCTTCTTCCAGCACGTGGTGGTTCTGCAATGAGACGGATTAAATGAAAGTGCAGTAGGTAACAAACCAAAGGTACTACTTATGAGCCTTCTTAAAGTGTTTTAGTGTCAATACATATTTAGTTTAATGTTGAACTGTGATGCCCTGAGCCCTGCAACTATACACAGAAGGAACATAAATAAGTGGAACTATTTTAAGGCATGGAGTAGTGGTACTACTTTCCTAAGGTCGTTGAGAACTTTCCCACCTATCCCATGTTTTTATCCGATTATGTTGGTTTTATGATCATCTTTTTCAGCTGTCATCGCTATCTTTAAATAGGCCTTCTGGCACAGTCTCACACCTGCCTCTGCTCTGCGAATCAAAATACTTGTCTAAGAAATGTTTAGATGTTGATCAGTCATGAACTCAGGGACACAATTTCAGGATATTTATGTCTTCACTCTCTTCTTTCATTAGACAAAGGAACAGTTTAGAACTGGCAGCTGTTGACCAGGCAAATTATCATCCTCTCTTTTATATATGCATGAGGTTTTGCGTAACACTTTGGGTATCTCTGCTAATCCATGAGAGTCTTTGCCTCATAAAGTAAGTATCTAGGTCTTGCACACCTGACTATCAATCCTCTTAGGAAAAACAGAACTCAACCCAGCATTCAACACTTTTTTGATGCTCCCTATCTACTAATCTCCCAGTTCAGCGCTGGTGGGAGCTCCCTGTCCTTGCTGTAGTGGCTGGTTAATGCACTCCACCTGAAATCACACATCCTTTATTGAGCTTAATCTGAGACTGATTTCTGTTCTGAGTAAGGGTAGAGTGCTATCTTCATATTTTTGCACTGTTTCAAATTATAAATGTATATAATTTTATATAAAGGCTATTCCCATACTCTCCCAGTATCTTAAAACTTACTCTACTGAACCCACAACAAAGTTAATTCTATATAACTGCTTCTACCCAACGTTTTGATCATAGTTTAAGACATGTAATCTGTTTCCATGCCTTTACTACCATTCTTCTCGCTGTACACCTTTCAGCTACCATGACCTTGAGTTCACAGTTGACACTTTCTGATCTTTAAATGTCTCTTCAAAAGGTAAAACCATCCTGTTTAATCATGTGTTCCCAAGTCTTCCACAGGAGTCAATGAACTTTAAAAGGTTATGGGAATCCCTCAAATTAATTCCATGAAATGTTTTTGGTAGGTATCTAATCCCATCTCCCTGGAAGGAATAAGACATCAGTTTCACTGACAAAATAACTCAAAGAATTGAATGACTTTTTATGTTTTGTTTTTTTTTTTAATGAAGAAAGTTTATTGCAGGTCTTTCTTTTACAATTCTAGTAGAAAGTATAGCTAAGAGAGAGAAAATGAACTATGACCAATTCATAAGAACGAGCAAAGGAAAAGAATTAAGCTGAATACATACTAGATTAAACTAAGCATTATGGTAAAGATAAAACCTCGTCTATTTTTGTGACTGCAGATTCAGGATAGCTGCTCCCCAATCCTTGTTTCCAGTGCCTGCACCAGGTGAACAGGGGGATAGCACTGACAACCTTTGATGGCTGTTGATGGCAGCTCCTCTATCAGCTCATCCCAGTACTGGGAGCTGCCCGGTTCATTGTAGCTTGGATCACATGCAGCAGGCTTTCCCTTCACAGGTCCAAAGTAATTTTATTTTACCTAATAGGTAGTCTGACCCTGGAGAAAGGTGTGGATGGGACGCTTGCAGTTAAGACAGAAAATGGCTAAAACAAAAAGGCTTCCTTCACTCCAGTCTTCATTACAAATAAATGTCCAGTGCTGATGTTTACATCCCAATAAATTTATATTATCTAAACACTACCCTGCCTGCAAGTTAGATAACAAACTTGATGGAAAACAACCATCCTTCCCTCTCTATCTCCAGTGTTTGTCTCGTGATATTTTACAGTTAGTCCACTAAAAAATCTTTCATGAAAATTTGCCTCTTCAAGTTTAGTAGAAACTTGGCTAAAAATAGAGGCATTGGAATAGAAGGCAAATAGAAGTTTTCATCCCTTGTCTTCCTCTCCCACTTTTCTGACAATTCTCATGAGAAGAACAGAACGGGGCGTGCTTGTAGAGGGGAGGCCCGGTCACTGTTCATCATCTCACTGCTCATATAAAAATATGGTTAGCTACACCATAAGTTAGTCTATTTAGAGCCCAAGGCTGTGTGAAATGGAGTTAATTACTAACACAGATAACTTTAAAATCATCTAACATTTGCCAGAGTCTTTCCCCTACCGCTGCTCTGAAGACAAGGGCAAAGAGCACTCAAAGCGCACGTTCACTCACCCACTATGAGAAAGAAGATCAGAGCCTGGCAGGGGCTCGCCACGAGAGGAGCACACAAACTAAAAACAGTCATGGGAAATGAGGAGAAACTGTAGCCAGAGTGTGGGGAGCTTCAGTTGGATTTGTTTTCGTCAGTCCTTACGCACCAGGCTGATCCCCAGCAAGCTCAGGAGATCCTGAGGCAGGCAGCGCGGGGGATCGGAGTGGCTCAGAAGCAGCAGGGAAGAGGGTCTCGGACCCAGCCACACGAGGATCATCAGCTGCAGCAGCAATTGCAGAAATTTTCTCCATTCCAGCTCTACCAGAGTCCTGACAGCGCTTGCTGCAGAAAATCTGACTCTCTTTATCTAGAGCTGTGTTCTACAAGCAAACAAACAAAAAATAAACAAAACCCAAGGCAAATCATTAAATCAGCAGTTAAATAAAGCCCTGTCTTAACTTAAGGGTTAAAACAATCTACAAGACATCAAGTGCATGCATTACAGCCAGGAAAAAAAAGGAGAAATAACATTAGAATTCTTAGATAGATAATTAATGGCAGCATTTTGTGACGCTGACTTTGGAAAATGTAAGTAAAACTTATCTTCCAGGCATCTGTTTGCCATGACGTTGCAACCTTAGAATTTTGTCTTGCAAGTCTGATGTGGAAAAAAGATGGTGTGACTGGTTGTGATACCTCATGGAACTCATCATAGCAGCTATAAGCAAAATTTATGTACCTGTGTTTCTGCAGACACATGATGCTTAGTGAGAGCTCAGTAATACATTTTCTGTAAAAAAACCTACACATTACAGAAGAGGAGCCCTTGATGAAGGTGACAGATGGAAACCTCATGATTTTTTCTATCACAGAGAAAAGAGTCTGCTTCTCTGCTTATTGCTGAGAGTAGGCAAATGACCTCTTACAAAACTGACATGGTGGCAAAAATATGTAATTTCTAGATTCTATGCTTAAAAATTACTGAGGAAGGGAGTTAACAGGTTAGAATGAAAACTGAGAACTCTGTGGTGCAGTAGGTGGGTTATTTGGAGTATGCAGTACATCTGCTGAAGCCAACAACTGCAAATTACATTAAATCCTAGTGTAATGTTTAATTGCTAGTGCAGTGTCTAAAGTGACCTGGTAGTTCCTGTGTCAAAGACAAACATAAAAATTGCTTTTGAAGACTTGGAGGAACAGTGTAATTGATCTTGTTTCACACTTTCAAGGCTGATACTGATCATTATAAATTCATATACTCCTTGGCTTAGCTTGCTTACTTTGTGAAAGAGCTTTAAGTACCAGTGGTAATGCAGATTTAAGTTAAAACAGATAAATTAAGTTCCTTGTAGTTTATTCAGTTATGTATTTTTATGTATTTTATTTCTTTGCTCAGTTTTGTATTTTTATTCCTTTTTGGAGTGCATAAATTCGAATTTCTCATTTATCTGACTTAGCAAGGAGCTGGATTAGTACCTCTGATTTCTCAAGCAGAGGACTACTAGGATTTAGATGTATATGGATGGCAACTCTTGTGCTGAAACCACTGTATATAATGCTGTGGCAGTGTGCTGGGGCAGGGGAGGAGACAAGCAGCCTTGTGACACCCCTCCTACCCCCAAGGCCTTCCTGCTAGGCTTGTCCAGACCAAAGTACTGAGGATAAAAATGCCCAAAAGAAAAGGTTAAGTATTTTAGTATTTTGAATTTAGGGTGTGTGTCGGTTTTGCTGTTTGCTGGGTTTTTTTAAGTGAGTGACATCACTAGTCTACCTGCATGGAGGTACCAGGAGAAAATTCCATACTACCCAACTCTGCTGCTAACAATCAACTCTGCACACAGAGCATGCAAGGAAGTGACCAGCTGAGCTGCATCTGTGCTTTTTGAGATTTTGAGGTGGTCTACTGGAGTTTTATCATTATCAAGGCAGCTGCTATGCTGGCAGGATTGCATTTCCTTTTTTTGCTTGCTGGAAAAAGAGTTGTAAATAAAGTGGCTTCTGCTATTTCAGTGGCAGATAAAGTTATGTTAAAGGGAAAGGACATGCTGAAGGCGATTTTCTCCTGTGCTGTCCTCACAGCAGCTTCTGATAGTTGTCACACGCTGCACACAGCAATACACACCCACATAATACAATTTAGGATTTTCTATTTTAAGAAGATTTAAGAGGAGGCTTAATTTTACTGTAGCTAAGTAAGAATGTTTTTAATTAATTTAGGACTGATTATTTCCTGACTAGGTCTGTATTACCATAAAACAAGTGACAATTAAAATGTTTATTTTAAATAGAAAGTATATTTATTTCAGTGTTTTTGTTCTTTGGCTATATCTTCGTAGGGTTCTCACCTTTTTCTAACTGCTTTTAGATACAGTAAGAAATACATATGCACAAAACTACTGCCAGTAGAATAGATCGAGATATGTATGAGGAAATAAAAAATAGTTATACTAGTGTTTGCTTAGAATATTTCAAATATGCCTTGCTTAAGACAGATTTTTTTTTTTTTTAAGTGCTTAAAAGGTATTCCTTTACCAGTTTTGTGTGGCTGTTCGGCTTTTTCCACTTCAGACTGGCTTAGTTATTTCTCCTTTCTTGTTAAAAATGGAGAACATGTATTTTTGTGCAGCAGAACAAAGCATCGCAGTTAGTACGTACCATTGCCTTGGACCTACTCAGAGGAAAGCAATGCAGGCATTGGGAAAGGAGGAAAAAGGAAGGAAGCAAGGGACAGAAACTAGACTTACTTTAAGCAGAACTAACACAATTGCAACAAATTTAGATTTACAGAACATTTTAAAATTGTCAAAAAAATAAAATAAAATCAGTAATGAATTAACAGCAACATGCTTTTGGGGGCAGCGGGAGCCTCCTGTGCAAGAACACTGAACTGGGGATGTGCAGTTTTACTTATCTGCCACAGGATGGTATTATCTGCATTGGCCAGGTGACAGTATTGGAATGAAGTGATGCTAAAGGGGATTCCATTAAATATGCAGGTGGACTGATATAGCAATGCACTGCAATACACGAGAATTACGATATGTGCTGGTCTGAAGCTGAATGTTTTTAAGCAATGAGTGCTAGTACAAGTGAAGAACTTCGGAACACAAAGGTAACTATATTTCAAGGTTCAAGATAAACCAGGGCAAGAATAACAAACTGGGGGCTTAACCCTCATTGGATCACAGTGGTTTTGATCAAGCTTTTACTTCTCCTTTCACCAATAACTGGGGACTGCGTTCAGAAATAAGTAATTATGCATTTACATCCTTCCACACCTGTTAGAAGGAAATAAGGCAGGAAAAGGGAAAATGAGGTGTACTTTCCTGGCTGAAGGCATGTCAGTAGCTAACAGAATCAGAAAAAACCCACACCAATAAGAAGCCAGAAGCTATGCTGTGTCAGAGATCTGAGACAGGCTTAAGTGGCATGCAAGTTGGAGAGGGGCTGAGAGTTAGAATTAAAATTGCTCTTATTACAGGTAGTGCATTTTATACCAGTTTTCAGCTTCAGGCTTATCCATAGTCTCAACAGTATAAAGAATGAAGCTCTGAAGTCCCTCTCAAACTGTCAAGTCAAACTGTCAAATGAAATGTAGACAACAGCATGAACCTGAAATTCATTTCCTGACTTATTTTTATGCTATCACTTGCCCTACATTTAAATTGTTGGCCCATTTAATTCCTATAAATATACTTGCAAAAACATGTATGTATGCAGAAACATTATTAAAATTTACTGACTTTCAGATGATTAAAACAATTCTTTGTTAACATAAGTGGGCTGGACTTTGAGAGTAATTGTTATTAATGGGAAGGGGTGGAAATCCCTGTCATGTTACTACCATAGATGGTTTTATTTTTCTTTTAGTAACTGAAGATGATACTCTCTGTGTGCAGTGTCCGTCCTCGCATCAGACAAGGACAGATCACAGTAAGGACAGGAGGGCAGTTCAATCACTGCTGCAGTTGCATATTCTCTATGAAAGTGACTGGGCAATTACAAATGCAGTTCTCAGTACTGATAGCAATAAATTCTATCGCTTCTGCCATGATTCACACATCTGCCTTCTGGAATTACTGTTTATGTAAGTTCAGCTGTAGGGTTGTCAGGATCCCCTTGTATGCTTCAAAGAAAGTTCCACATTAGGGAACAGAAAAAATGCAGCAGGGGTTGGATGAGGACAAAATTAATGTGGCAGACATTCAATTCTACAAAGAAAGTTTCTGAAATGGAGTCTGGTTCCCTGGCAAGCACAGTGCTGAACAACAGTATGCTCAAGATCAGCTAGGTCAGAAGGGAAGAGCCTGCTTAACTAACTAAGTGGTCAGTATGACTAAAAAAAAAAAAAAAAAAATCACAGTTTTTGTAACGAAAGAATTCAAATTCAGCGTACACCTACTTAGTGTTTATATGTTTCTGTTTGGAAGCTTGTTTTTATAGCTTAGGTACCGCACTGTGATAGACTTGGTTTCTCTCAAGCAATGATGAGACAATCCACATTATACATAAATAAAGACTAGAATTAGAGACTATTCTAGCTTTGGTTTTGCTATTCTTGCACCACACATGCTCATAGAGCACTGTTAGGAAAATATGCAAAGTACAGTATTAATGTATGAAACTGTTCATTTCTCTTACCATGATGACAGAAACCCCAGCAGATGTGTTATTTTGCTTGGGTAGGGTGTTATTAAAGTGCTGCTTCAGTTTACCTGTTACTTCAGCTTGCATATTATTCTCCTGGGAAGCATCATCCTGTATAAGAATAAACACAATATTCAAGTTAGGAGAAAAAAACCCCAAAGTATGCTTCAATGTAACTAAGTAAAAGAGAAGCTGCAAGTTTGATTCAAGCATGTTAAAAATAACGAGCTTGAAGTAATGTTTGTTAAAAATAAAAAAAAGCGTGTTTGTCATTTGGATTTCTTTTAAATCAGTATTTTAAATGGCCCATCATGCCCTAAGTGTGGAAATGTTACACAGTACCATAAATAAATTTCAGAGGAGCTGTTATGAACAGACACGCTCATTATAGTTGTCTTCTCTTGTGTCCCAGAACTCCATAGATCATACTCAGTCCCCTCTTTTAAAATATATGTGAAAATGAACATTGTGCACATGTAAACCCAGTATTTATTAAGAGTGAACTGATTTTAAATCGATCAATGCACTTTGGTGTTCCCCATTGCTGCTGCCCAAAAAGATGAAGGACCCGGCAGCCATCAGCTTACTGTTAAATTAGGTATTGAATTTGCTAATTGTATTTCAAGCTTGAAGTCCTTCAAGAAACAGGCTGTACTCCGAGCAGCTTTGCAACAAGTAAGACGCCAACAGGCACAACAGTCCTTCCACAGAGACATTTTTGAGATGAGTGTTTCTCTGGGTTGGATGTGAAATAACAAAAAAGGTGCCAAAGTCACACATCTGCCTGTTGTGTTACGTTCAAGGTTTTAGCAACCCCCAGCACCTTCTAATCACAGTCAGCAAGTCACAGCCTCACTCTGTTCCTGCAGAGCCCAGAAGCTGACAGTGCTGCTGTTCTCCTTTATGTGGAAGTAGGACCAGGAGTTCCATAAAAAGAAATGGACCTAGTAGAAGTGTACTGCTGCTTCTGAAAATTACATTTTAATGCTTAGATTTAGAGGCTTAATATAAAATTAGAGACAAGTAAAATGTAATTTACTCACTGACACCCAGGGATGGCTTAGGATCTGTGCTGCTGTATATCGGGCCTCAGCATTCACATGTAACATCAGGCTAATTAACTCCTTCATTAAAAAAGACAAAAAGAAGAGCTTGAGAAAAGGATATTACAACTGAAAATACTGTTGCACCAAGTTCTTCTCAGTGCAATTTTCTCGATACCTGGGCAAAAATAAAAGCCAGTTGATACCAGAACCAGTGATACCAGTGTGACTTCAGTGGAACAAAAGATTTGCCCCTTCAGGACTAGGAGTATGCTGGGCAGCATATTTCATAGCAACTTCCTCATGGCACTCATGTTTCACCAAGTCTTTTGAAACCAAATGAAAAGGAAAGGTTAAAAAAATCAGCTATAATGTTCCACTTTGTTCTCTACATATTCATACAGGTGATCAGAACAAAAACAAACCTGGGAGAGAAGAGATCCTCTATGGGCAGTGCATGCACATAGTAACAGTACAGAAAAAGTACCAATCAGAGGCAAGAAACTGCAGCTGAAAGTCAAGAAACTGAAGGCATTATCTGAAGAGTGTTCATTGCTTCAGTTTTGGGAAATGGTTCCTCCAAGCAGATAACAACATACCTAACTGAGAGGTTTCCCAACCAGCCAAGTTATTTAGTCTGTGTAAGTCTGAAGTGAGAGATCACCTTTAGTACCAAGACTGAGGGCCATGTTTGTCCAGAATGCATGCCTGGAAGTGTGTGAAATGACCACAGCTTGGGAAATGTTGATGAATGGATAAACAAACAGCCATTGGGAAATGCAGAAAAAAAGTAACTTCTCACTGGTTGGATAAAAATAATAATCTCTACTCGCTAATGAGCCTTCAGATATCATTCAGAGCGCATGAGTGAATTAGCTTGAGTAGCAGGCCTTACAAGTTGGAACCTTTATCCTGCAGACACAACTGTTTTAAACAAAACTGCAGTGATTGATAACACAAGAACTGTTAGGAAGGGCAATTAGCAATGGCTGCACATCTTGAAAAGTTCTAATAACTCGCTCAAGTAAAATAGGAAGAAATGTCAACTGCATTCAGTCCACATAGCAATAATTTTTTCTTTTTTAAAGAGCAGTAGGAGGGAAAAATTCAGAGACATTTACCAGCTGAACCTGCTATAACAGTCCATCATGAGGCACACTGAGTATCATGTGATGTTCACCGAATGCAGTTGGCATTCTGCTACCCTTACTCAGCAACACAACAGCCTGAAACAGCTGAGCTTTCATTTAACATGTTAGGCCAAACCAAGTAAAAAGGCAGAGCAACTGGAGCAGTGGCTGAATCTTCTAGTCTGCCTTTCCAAGAGAGAAACATCTTTTCAGGGACTCGTCAGAAATGCTATTTCAGGTTGGAAAATGTAGCGGTACCTTTGCTGAATCAGTGATGTTATCCCAGTAGGGAGAAGGAAATTCCAGCTTCCCAACAAGTATCTGATCAAAGAGGTCTTCCTGAAGGTTGTTTTCACTGCAGAACAGCAGTAATGAGAAAGATTATGAGAGAGAAGTCAGTTTGTCATGTGAGTTCTTAACTTGATTCGGGGATGGAACAGAAATGATGTTAATAACTACTAGCAACGCATACTTCTCAAGCTTATATAGAGGCAGCACTTCTGAGCTGTTTGCCATAGTTACACTGTCAGAGGTGATGAGAAAACCAAATATAGTGAGGTGAAAGTTCTTCCACTGGAATAGAGACTTCACAGCTAACACACAGGAACAGGAAATGGGATTAAAAAGAAAGACACTTGCCACCCTAGTTCTAAAGAACCTGCTACAGAAAGCATATGACTGGGGGAAGACATGTAGTGAAATGAGCCTCATCTGTTAAACTATCAAAACAGGAGAATTTTCAAAATCCAAAGAGGAGATATATAAAACACAGTAAACTAAATCTATCATGAGTACTGGCAGGCTACTGATATTAAAAGGATAAGTACTTTTTTATCAAAAACATGGTTTCATGAATATTCAGAGATAAGTGGCAGCAGGATTTTTGTTTTTCAACTTTTTTGCTGGCCATAACCACTTTGAACATCCACTCTACTTATTTCTGCAAGGAAAAATTTAGCTCTTGAGTTTGTTTTGCAATAAATATTTATTAACCTTGGTTAAGGCCAGATTCTAATAGAATATGGACATTCTCCCTGCCTAAGCCCCAAACTCTATTCAAAGAATTTGCTATTTGTTTCTATATTGTATCGTTCAAAACAAGTTTCCAGTTTTAAACGTGAACTAACTACATAAACCCCCCCAATACCTAAACTAAATAATATTTTTCCATCAACAATAACTGTTTATATTGTGTTCTTCGCAAAATATTCTCAGTCTGGTGTTTTAGTTAAAAATTAAGTATTTTGCTGTAAAAATGAACGACCAGACCATGCATTAACAATTTATATGTTAGGAAGAGAATTCACTATTTAAATATACCAATTCCTTCTCATTCCCTGGAAAATAAAAATGGCTGAGGCACAAAGCATATCCATTTGATTTTCAGTAGAGCTCCTATATATTGTGACAACTGAGTAGCAAGAATGATGTTTGCAAACTCCACCACTCATATGACACTTACCAAAAAAATTAACAAGGTTAAAAGCGCAGGATAACCAAATTGTTCCCCCTCCCCTCGGTTTACCACCACCCACCCTATCCCACCCCGGTACTGAAGACCCGGGAGCTGCCGGGTCCCGACAAAAACGCCAGAGGGCAGCGTGTGCCCGTGGATCGTGGAGCTGGGATGCACAGGGAGACAAAAGGAAAAGCGGCTCTGCCCTTATACCCCCCACATCCCTGCAACACAGCAATAAACCAGCTACAACCTCAGAAAAATAAATAAATAAAATTAATCCCAGAACCTAAAAAGAAGGAAAAGTGAAAACAATTCAAAGAAAAGAACAAAGACATAAAGAAAATGTGTCACTCTAATCCACCTTTTTTTTTCCCTCCCAGGATGCCTTCTTCAGGGATAAATAACTTGATTGTTTTTACTGTTTTGCCCTTTGACACTCACCTGCGAAAAGGTGGAAATCCACATAACAGTATGTATGTGATCACACCTGCAGCCCAAATATCCACCTTTAGGCCATATCTGAGAAAACAAGGCTGTGTTACTTGTGCTGAATTAAAAAAAAGAGTCATTCCAATGAAAAAAAAAAATGCATTGACATGAATACATGAGAATCTGTTCTAAATTACTTGCTGATTATGTGGTATTTTGTACCCAACCACCTTTTTCTTCACAACTTTACAGTCTTTAGGAAACCAAGATTCTGTGGTTTTTCTTTTTTTTTTTCCACCATAAGCCTCAAGGCTCTCCAGAGTCTTCTGAATACACTCATATTCAAGTCAGTACCAAGGTTTTCCCAATCCAGAATCACTAACGATAAAAGACAAGGATGTGCCTTCTCAGTCCCTGCAGTGTAACTACCTCTAAGGTTATCGTGTGTTGCTAAGCAACAAGGCACACACCGATCCTCCACTCTCATGACAAACACGGGGAGGAAGAACTGCACTTTTCTTTCAAAGCACAGAAATTAAAACACTAGAGGTCAAAAAGAGGTCTTTTGTCCTGTTCTTTTCTATCCAGTAGATTCAGTTTGTCAAAATCTAAAACACGCAGATGAAGTGCCCTTTGACATTTGAGCTCACTGCAACTGTAAAATATTTCTCCATACAACAAATGCACTGAACAATGACTGAAACAATACAACAAACCTCCCTCCATTAGGAAGACCAAATTCAGAGGGGGTCACAGCTATGGCAAGACTCAGCTATAGCATGGAATGAAGCTCTAATAGGTCTAAAAGGAAGGATGACTTGTGAAATTTTATCATTTTTAGAAATTATTTTGTATTTATGCAATGACCTGTTAAATACCAAAAAAATGGGGCTGTTTAATTAAGCAAACGATTATCAAACAGCATGTGTCACCCAAACAAGGTCACTAGAATCAACATGATCTAATTAGAGCTGTCCTAAGAACAGGTTTAGGTTAGGTGACCTCTGGAGCCTCTTCCAATATAAATTATTCCATTTCTAACACAAACACTGTGTTCTGCCTGTCTGTTTTTCCCCAGGCAGCTGCCACGGCTGGTACAATGGACTCTGAACACTGAGGTGAGGCAGGGAGCACAAACCAATGAACTCCACTGCACCAGCAGGTCCAAGGGAGGTGAGTAAGAAGGCAAAGGTGAATTCTGGGATCAGGGTAAGCAAAAAATCTGGCCTCTTTGAGGAACTGTGAATGATGCCCATGGGTGCTTTTGTTACAAAAAGATGGAGAGCCAGCCTATTAAGGCATCCTAGTTCTTAAAACAGTTAGGAGCTACCTGACAAAAATAGCTGTTTACAAGGCCTATGTCTTACTCTTACCCTGTCTCTGCAATGATTTCTGGAGCCACGTAGGTGGGCGTACCGCAGACAGTATATAAAGGCCCTTCAACCACAGTCGCCAGTCCAAAGTCTCCAAGCTTCAAAGACTTGGTTCCATCTGAATATTCACATACCTGGAATCAGAAAAATAAAAACCCAATGAGGAGGAGAACATCTGCTTTTTTTTTTTTTTTAATTTGTTTGGAAAATAACCATCATCATATGGGGAAAAAGAGGTAATTTCCACAGCCCTGGAGGGAAAGAAGAGAAAAATGCTGTTACCATTGATTGCAGCTGGAGGTACTGTTCAATGGAGCTGTCTGCCAGCTATGTAGGTCAGACCATGACACAGCCTCAAGCAACTTGAGGGGGGGAAAGAAAACCCAATCCTAGAATGCTGAGAAGTTTTAAATATATTAAGTAGTGTATAATACTCTAATTTCATTTGATTAGGACCTAGAGTTTAAAATGGGACTGGCAGCAACAATCAGATTTGTTTAACATCTTGTTAATGTGGCATAAATCTGGTCAGTTGTTATGTTGGATATTTCACTGGCAAATGTCCTCTCTCTGCTTAGTCAGTCTAGGCAAGTTCAGTACAGCATTGAGAAAGCTGACTGAGAAGTGTTTAGGTTTCTGCGCAGACCCAACTGTATCTTACCAAAAGCCCCATAAATGATCTAGCATTGAGTCTGAGTCATTTTATTGATGAAAGAAGTTGAATTTCAATAGAAAGAAAAGTGCTACATAATAGTGACTGCAAGAGTAAATCAAACCAGACCAACACAAAGGAAACATCCCCCTAATAAATTAATCTCAGTTTCGTTCTTAAAGTAAAATATTTATATTAACATAATTTCAAAGGAACCTAATTTTTGGAATGTAGGACTCCATAATCTCCAGAATGACTGAATTTCTTTTGTTTCCTCAAACAACTGAACGCTGTTAAGGCAGCAATACTTTCCTTCATTCCTCTCTGTAATTCATACCATTAATGGAAACTCTTGTTCTCTTTTATGTAACAGCTTCAAAACTCTCAGAGTTTGGATTTTTAAATGCATGACTAGTAAAGAGAATTCAGACAGCTGCATGACCCTGTGCAAAAAAAACTAACTACTTGTAATTCTAGGTAGCAATTGATAGGAATTATTTGCATTTACATTCAATACCAGTATGTTACCTTTACATTCTGCCACTGTCAATCAGAGTGAGTAAGATTTGCATCTGTTGAGTAATCTCTTTAGGCTTTCTAGGCAGAAAGGACATTTGTGCCTATTTTTAACTGATTCAATCACTGATGAGAGCTTAAAATTTCTCTGGACTGCGTTTGAAGATGCACTGATAATGTGAGACATTCACCTTCATTTTCTCACTCTTAAGAGCCATGTTGCTCTAACTAAATTTTCAAGGAGAAGCCACCCCTCCCTTTCTTTTGCTAAGCAGTCTAATTGTTTGAGGGCATATTTAAATTGCCAAACACTGTCAGTGGAATTAGTTGGGAAAGACTTGACTATGAAATGAAAAATATTTTCAGCTTGTAGCCCTATCCTTCTAATAATTCAAAATCTGTTCTGGGATAAGCCATGACTCCTACTCTAGATGCAACCTCATTAAACAGGACTGACAAACACAGAAGGTTTTAAGAAATGCCTACCAAGTGTTGATGAAAGCTACCAGCATTGCCGATGACAGTTGCTCAAGCCAAGGGGAGATTACAGCCCTGTTTGTTCACTGGTGACACTTGATATCTAATATCCAATATGTAATGCACAAGTATAACCTCTGTGTTTAAGCAAATGGCATATGTTGATCCCATTCTGTGCACAGAATGGGAAAGATGCCCTCTGTGGACTGTGGTAGAAGTGGTTCCCAAGGCAGACTTCATGGTAATTCCTGTCAACACAGCTATTTTCTGTCTCTGTTGAAACCAAAAGTAGTCAGTTCCCCAGGAAAAAAATAAACGTATGTATGTACAGAGTTAATTCCCAGCTGGAATATTGGTAAATCATCAGAAAAATGATCCCACGATGACACTGAGAGAAAAAGGGGGAAAAAAAAAAAAGCTTCAGATGGTAACCATATGATTGTTCAAAGAAATGGAAGAAATGGCACTCGGCCCACCTTTTCTCCCACTTGCAAACTAATAAATAATTCATTGACATAGCTTTAAAATTCATTGTTTTGTGAGACAATACTCCTGCTTATCTAAATGGCAGCCAATCAAAATGTAAATAAAGATAAGTCTAAGGAAAGGTTTGAGCACAGCTCTCTCACATTACAGTGATTGCTATCTCGTGGCAGAAGATTTATTTCATATATGCTTATTCTAAATTATTATGCCTTCTCTCCTCTGCTCAGCTCCTTGACATTTATATATACAAGCATTTGCATTAATGAGAACAAAGTAAGAGAAAGTATTAGATAATAAATGGGACATACCAGAAGATTTTCTGGCTTGATGTCTCTGTGCACAATGTTGAGACCATGAAGGTATTTGAGAGCACTGGCTAAATTGTAGACCATTGCACTCCCATCTCGCTCTGTGTATTTTGTAGATGAAGTGATAGCATCAAATAGATCTCCTCCCTACATAATAGAAAGGAAAAAGATCAAGGTAGGAAAAATAATTAAGGTGATATTTCATTTAAAAAAATAAAACAAAAACAAAAACCCACACACCAAAAAACCCCCATGTAAAATCTTCCTTTACAAAAGGTATGCTCAAAATTCCTGTTAAACAGTAAAAAAATTATTTTGCAGAAAGATGATCTTGTCACCAAGATACTAGAGTGGGACTTGGGTTATCTAGATTAAATTCTCAACTGCAATCCTGGCTTCTGGTGTCTGAGTTTGGACAAGTCACAGATCTTCTCTGTCTTGATTTCTTCTTATTGATCTTCCTACCTTTGATCACTCATTTCTATTACCTACAGGTACAGGCATATATTTTCCCTTTTCCTTCATCTTATCAGTGTAATACCTTCAATGTAGTGAAAACCAGCCCTGGTTTTGAGTAGAGCCTAAAGTAAATTTGCCCAGTAATAAAAACCTTAACAAACAAATATTCAGCAATTGTAATGAACTGCAAATCTGAATTTCTGCAGATACAGCAGAAATATCAAATAAACAAAGCTGAAGAGGACAAACAAGACAAGCGTGATCTTTTCCAACATAAATGAATCCACTGATTCTATGATACACCAAGGTGCAGAACCTACAGGTGATTTCTGAACGTGTCAGTTGTGCAGTCTCTGTTTTATGGATGCCCTATTCCTCCTGGAACACATAACAACATCTGAGCAAATTACTGATGCAGCATTTTCAGTCATTGCAACAAATTTTATGTGGGTGTCTCTATGATGGTTACCCTGGATACATCTGTAGGAGTGATCTGTCTGAGCTGTGGGTGGCATTCCAAGCATTTCAATATACATGGAAGAGAAGGAGCAATTCGGGAAATACAGGCCAAGATGGTGGTGAATTAAAATATAAAAAAATACTGTCTTGAAACCCCCAAAAAGCCTATAGTATATAAAAATAACTTCTGGAAAGGAAGAGAAATGAGTAGGCTACAGAAATTATGAATTTACAACCACACACTTTTTTTAGGTTTCCCAGGCTGGTACCTACTCCTGAATCTAACAATGTTTCAGACAAGAAATAAGAAGTGCTGCTGCTTCTATATAATATTTGTATCTGATATGCCAATCAAGCTGATGTGCAGTGATGCTGTGTACGTACACAACTCAGACAAGAGAATGCATAACTAAAACTTGATGTAATTTGTGTATTTGGCTTACAAGGTGACAGCAAAATGAACATTTTTGTTTTCTCTGTACGTATATGAAAGCAGCACATCTGTTCACTGGTGAACTGGAAATAAGAGGAATGAATGTTTGATATAAGCAAACCAGGTGAGATTTTTTGAGTTTTAATTTTTTTTGGATGATGATCACTTGACTTTAAACTATTTGTCTGATCTATTGACAATTAAGATAAATTTATCACAGAGAGATAAATTCATTGCTTTCTTTAAGGAAAATTATTAAATAAATATATTAGTGAAATAAATGCAGGTGTTTTGTTAGTAAAAGCACATCACTATCAGCCTTGCATACTGTAAGCATGATATAAAAACCACTATCCACTTCTGTCTAGACTGTGCACATGGCAAAATTGCCTCACACCTGTGTTAATAATCTAATTACAACTGAAGAGAGACAAATTCCACTAATATAATTGATCGAAAAGAGTGTTTTTATTATTAAAAATGCAGGTTGCCACTGAAATCTTACATGACTACGTCTCTCAGGATTTCCAGATACTGCTCAGATTTCACACCAACACAGAGAATTCAAATAGGATAAATAAAGCCCCCTTGGTCTTACCTTGACCAGCTCCATCACCAGATAGAGTTCTGTTGGGGTGTCCATTTCCTCTATAAGCATAATGATATTTGGATGCTTCACTCGGCGCAGAATAGACACTTCATTTTCAATCAGGTGTTCCTGTTCAGAACAGGATGGAGAAGTTTATCTGAATAGACATGAAATTGCCAGTTTCCTTTGATCAGCTGATCACTTGATCAGGGAGCACCCTTTTTGCTGTTTAATTTATATAGTAGAGGGTTATTGTCAGATGCTGGATTTTAAGCTGTATTTCATCATTGACCACATTTAATTTAAAATACTGTATTTCACACACATAACCAATGGGATATCTCTGAAAAAAGACTCCAGAACATGACATCAATTCAGGAAGTGTGGATTATATTCTTATGTGGGTATTATGAGGTGAAATTAAGTTCAGAACCTTTTTGCCCCCAAGCTGGATCATTGTAAACTGTCACCCCTCATCAATAGTTAACAAGCTCTTGATCCTCTCCAGCCTTCACCTCTCATTAGTGTAGGTTACTCGAGGACAGATTACCTAGGATTTATATTCAAGGACTTTATTTTTAAAAAAAAAAAGTTTTAGAATATATACAAGAAAAAAATTTTATAACTGCTTTGGTTACGGATTTCAGTTCATTTTATATGTATGTTCAAATTTACAATCTGCAAAATGTGTAATAGCTCAGTTACATCGTTGCGACTCCAACAGCTTAACAGCACACAGATTGAGTTTAATTTCCCCTTCCCTATACTTCTGAGGAAGTAATGGCTTTCAAGAACAAATTAGTTTCAAATGTCTTGTTTTCTGGAACATTTTAGCACATGGTTAACACTGGAGACCGAAAAAAATTACATGCCCCTTTCATGTGAAAGAATGATTTTAATTTTCCTTTATAAATATTGGAATACAGCCGTATTTAGGTTCACTGCAAAATAAAATACCAATGCTTGCATAAAACACGAGCACCCTTACACTTGGGCAGATAACAAATCATGTCATTGGACTCAGAACTTATTCATGTTTAATGCACCGATTAGTAGCATGCACTTCATGCATTTGTGAGCAGAGCATTAAAAGGAGATGTGATCCACTGTGCATAGGCAGTGACTGAAGATCTTGTGCTACTTCAACTTCTTCTTGCAGGGTTTATTTACGGATGCACTGTGCTTTTGCCAAAGCTCTACGTGGCTACATAACTCAGAAACCACATGCCGTGTGTGCATCTCGTTTGGTGACAGTGCGGTGCGGCATATACGGGTTAAACAGTCACACCTTTGAAATTCAGTTTGAAAGAGCATCAATTGTCATTCTGAACAAACATATGTCTGCTCCAAGCAAAGTGCTCTGGAGAAAAAAAAACAAACAAACATGAAGCAATTTTGTTAAACACAATGCTGAATCTCATCACCAGAGAGAAGTGAACAGCCACAGCACACTAAGCCTTTAGGGACGGAAGCCTGTAAATTCAAAACTAATATTAAGAGTCCAAGCAGAAGCTAGAATATTATTATAGCTTTTTCTACCTAAAGAACAGATAGCATATTAAATTTACTTCATCCATTAATTACGACTAAGGCACAAGAGCTTTATCTGTGCTTTCTTAGTTTCACTTGACTAAATTGTTAATTGCTTTAAATATAGCTCGGAAATAACTAATGCTTATTTAAAATAATAATAATTTCTGTTTAAAAGTCCCTGAAATGTTGTTGAGCTAATGTTTAAAATGCTGACTAATATGCGGTTCTTTATTTTCAACCACCCCACTGTTTTGCTCTATTTTGCCATATAAAAAAATAGCAATTTTCAAAGTCATTACCATGTTTTTCCTGGATAGTGCAATATATGCTTCAGTTTACATAAATATGATTTATTTACAGTGAAATTACTGTGTAATTAACATTTAAGCCACTTGTGAAAAATACATTAGTCAACTGGATTCAAGTTTTAGGACATACAAGATTAACTGCTTAAGGAGCAGTGAGCAACATTCAAGTCATCCATATTTGGGCCAGATGGGTGTTTTCAAAGCAGGGCTTATGTTGGCCTGTGAAACTAAGCAAGGAAAGAATAAGCAGTAGCAAAATTTAATTATTTTCTCTGTTGGAATTCTTCCTGGACAGTTCTGCCACTGCCCTAACAGGTATAAACATCTTCCTAAGAACAGTCTGTAGCTATACAGATACAGATCCTTTCAAAGCAGGCAAGTATGCATCCATGGGGCTCATTTTTTAATTTGTTTTAAAGCAGGGAGAAAGACATATAGAAAATATGTCTAAACTCTACTGTATAAAGCAGACTTTCTATCTGTAGATAGTTCTAATTTGTGATACCTAACCAGCTGACTCAGATAAGTAATAAACACCATCTAAAGTTGCAAGCTGTAGACATCACCCAAAAATTTTGTTCGCAGTGGAAAGTGCTTTGTCACCCTTTCCACAGCTGAAGAAATTGCAACATTTCAGTCTCAGGATGGCAATTTTAGCACTTTTTTTCATGGTTATGCATTTTTAAGATTCCTTTCTAAATTTTCTAAATAAATCTGGAGAATATGAGATAAAACAACACAGAGGCTGGAACACTGATCTCCTAGCACCTGACACATGATTTAAAATCTGCATACATAAAACATTTCTGTTTTAGCACCTCTGCTTAAAGGGAGCCATCACAGCATCATACAGCTCCTTACCACAGAAAGAATGTCACACAGACTTGCTACATCCTCCTACAAGGACACATTCAGCATTTGGAGCTCTGAATGACACTTCAAAGCAGTTACACCACTTAGTCGACAAAAAGGGTACCTTTGATTTAAACCCCTGACTTGGTTACAGAGATACCTCCAGAATTACCTCAGTCAGTCATTTACATAAAAAAAATAAAGTGTCTGGATCAAAAAGTCCATCTTTTCAACCCTTCCTGAAAAAGTGGTGTATTGCCTACTGTGACAGAGACGTCAATGCAGAATTTGATTGTTAATAAAGCCTCAGTGATCTTTTAGCTAACACTAAACTATGATCCATTTGATTCCTAAGTTTCTCAAGGGTATGTTGGTTTTAAGATATATCAAAGCAGTGAAAATAGAAGTATTTTATTTGTTGTTATCTATTCCAACACTTAGTCTACATTCTTGGCTGTAGGTTGGCTGTTTTTATTCCTTTTTAAAAATATACTCATAAGGAAAGGAAAGAAAGGGTGGGACACTCTCAGATATCTATTTCACAGAATCACAGAATTGTTTGGGTTGGAATGGACTAGAGATCTAGGCAGGATCATGTAGAGCAGGATATACAGGAATGCCATTCAGGTGGGTTTGGGATGTCTCCAGAGAGGGAGATTCCACAATCTCACTGGGCAGCCTGTTCCAGAGCTCTGCCACCTTCAATAGAAAGAAGTTCTTGCTCATGTTGAGGTAAAACTCCTTGTGCTTTATTTTATGGCCATTGCTTCTCATCCTGTAGCTGGGCACCACCAAAAGGAGTCTGGCACCATTCTCTTGACACCCATCTTTGAGATATTTATGGGCATTAATGAGATCCCCTCTCAGTCTTCTCTAGACTGAACAGGCACAGCTGCCTCAGTCTCTCCTCAAAAAAGATTCTCCAGACCCCTCATCATCTTTGCGGTCTCCACTGGACACTCTCCAGTAGCTCCTCATCTTTCTTGTGCTGAGGAGCCCAAAACTGGACTCATTATAGGAGATGTGTTCTGCTGAAGAGATAATTTTGGAATTTTTTTTTTTTTTTAAGCTTGAATTAAAAGAAAATGTTTAGGAACTCAAGAGATCCTTGTTAATACAGGATGGTAAAAGTAGTAAAGAGAAAGAAATGGCTGCAAAAATTCCTTTCCAAATCCATGTTCTGTTTATAAAAGGAGCATGTACAGCCATAAAAATAAGAGGCAGAGTGGGATGGGAATTACACAAATACAAATATAGCTACAAATTTCCTTTCTCATATTTTACAGACCAAAATAATTTCAATATATTTTGGATGCATATTAGCATTTTTTGTCTGTCCAATAAAATAGACAATTAGTTTGCTTTTTACTCTGTTATTTAGCAGACTAACACCACTGCTTTTATTATGTGTTTCTTGGATACATTATCATCTTGTTAAAAATATATTCTGAAAATAGTCAGAAAACCCAAATACACCCACCATTTATGACTAATGAGCAGCTGCTAGTGCTGCTTCTGTATACATGCAAATTGCTGTACACTACCTTTCCACAGCATTTAGCCTTGTCTATGATCTTCAGGGCAAACTCCTTTCCTGTGGATCTAGCAAGAAAAACACAAGAGCCATTAATTAGAAACCGATCAACAAATTGTGGCATTCTCTGTAAATACGTCGCCATAACAGAATGTCGTGACCCACTCAGATCGCTGACAGAAAATTCACAGAATGGGCTTGATTTTGGTTTTTGTTTTCTCAGCAGCATTAGTGCCTGCTGTTTCCCTGACTACCACAACCTGGCTCACTTGGTGTATTAATCCCACAATCCAGCTGCAATTTATGCTTTGTGACCAGGCACGATTTTGTTACTTCCTTAATGCAACATGCAAAATTTGCCTTCAGCCTTCCACTTAGCTTTGTTCAACTGGCAAGCTTTAAAGATAAAAATCATACACATATATGTGTAAGCAAGCAGAAGAAAGATTTATATACTAGTAAAAAAATTCAATAGGATTCAGCAGAGCTAAAACCCCACAGTTCATTATAAAGTAGTCTAAAATCCTGTAGAATCTATTAGCCACTGATTTTGAGCTTTTATATTTCATTCTTCCTTTATTTTTTTTTCTTTAAGAATTCTGCTGAATTCTACAGCAGTCATTTAATAAGTCCCAAGGATTTTAAGATGGTGGTTATATACAAAGTAAAAAGGATTACTGTTTTTGGTAAATTCTCTCACAGAAAGGAGCTCTTGTTTGTCTGTTGTCCCTTTAAGCAATAAAAATCTCCATTTCTCCAGAAGGGAGAGAAAAAAGAAATGCAATGTATACATATATATTTTTTTTAATCTTAGAAGTTACTACTTATATTAATGATGAACATCAGAAAGAAAATGCCATAAAACCTTGTTGCTACTTTGTTTTTTGCCAGTGCCTACAGACGCCAGCGTGCATCAGAACACCAGTGGTATGTATGGCAAAAACAGGAGGTAGTTACAAAAGCAAAAGTCAGGCACGTTTTTACACTTCCAGGTAATTTTCACTATGCTTTTAGCATTAGATACAACTAGTCAAAAGCAGTACCTTACAGAAAAAGGAACTGCATTAACATCTAACATTTGATACCTGCATTATTGAAAAAATGCAGCAGAGAATCTCTTCCCTGAAAGTGCAGCTGTAGCTGCAAGGTTGTCATAGTTACAACCTGATTTGGTCTTTAGATAGAAGCCTTATCTAAATGGTATCTGTGAAATGCCATCCTCTCATATTACAGGCCCAGTGTAGAATCTACTATGAATACAACATGTAATTCAGAATCACAATTTGTGCATTTTACCGTAAATTATATCTGAAAGCCTGCAAACAACTGATCAGCAAAGTCCACTTAGTAAACCTTTGGCACTTATGCTGTGAGAAAAGAGGAGTTAACATTCACAGAGCTAATTCATCAACCAGCTTCCTCTTGCAAATGTCCTCTACTACAGCACCTATGAAAAAAAACCCCTGGATATAATGCACATAATTTCTGTGCTAATACCACAGTGCATCATACACCAGCATTGTCTGACAGGTTTCTGGTATTCTTCTGTCGAGCTGTCAGTGCCCATCTGTTGAGTCATGTCTTTATATACAGACATATAGGCACCCTGTACAAAAGAGACCCTCTTATTCTTTTTGTAGAACAGCTGGTATAAGAGGATCCTGGCTCCCCAGCTAAGGCTTCTAAGCACAACACTATTAGAAATTAGGCAGAATTAACAGGAATTAAAAAAGAAGCATTTATGGTTGGCCTTTCCTCTTTCACTGTTATTGTTAGCAATTATGGTTGTGTATTTATTTTATATAAAATTCATTTAACATTTCACTAAAGATTTGATCACATATAAAACTAGATGTTTTAATTTTGCTTTTTTTTTTCTTTTTCTTTTTACAATTGGAAGGCTGTTTTTCTAGTCCAGTTTCCTCATTCCAAAAAGCACAGATGACATTTTGAAACCCCAGTGACCTAGCACCCCTTGTCCCATTTCCAGTGGAACTTAAGCGATTTCCAAAACCCACAGCTGATATTTCTGAAAATAATATATTATGTAATCTGATGCTTTTAATCTGCTACGTTTCATGAATGTTGTTCGCTCTATAAATAACAAAGGATGTGTGGCCAGTTTCAGGGTGCATAAGCAAACACTGTGAAGCATTGTTCATCTTGTGCTTGAGCGGAAAACTTCGGGATTTTAAACCATGGAAGAACCTTTGAGACACAAGGTATGCTGGGACCTGAGGGGATCCACTTGTCCCAAAGGGGAAAATGCATCTTTGGGCATGTCTGGGGGAGCTGATTGAGAGAGCCTTAAACTAGACTTGATGGGAGAAGGGGATACCAACAGGATTGTAGCAGGTAATGGTTGGGATGGCATCACCTAAGGATGGCAATGCCAATGGGAACATTGGCACTGCTCCCAGGAGCATGAAGAGCTCAGGAGTGTATCTGAAATACTTGCACAGAAATACACGCAGTATGGGAAACAAATGGGATGAACTGGAAGTGTTGGTTAGATCTCAGATCTATGATATCATTGCTGTTCGTGAGACCCGGTGGAATGAATCCCAAAACTGGAGTGCTGGGATGGAAAGCAGGAGCCTGCTCAAGGGGGACAGGCAGGGCAGTGAGCTGGAGGTGTTGCACTATATCTAACGGAGAGATTTCACTGCACAGCCCTTACAGTCAGTGGTGATGTGGTTGAAAGCTTCTGGGCGTGGATAAGGGCAGTGGAAAACAAAGGACATGGTGTAGTGGTAGTCTGCTACTGCATCACTCATTTGGGATGAAAGCACCGTTGAGTTATTCTATAGGCAAAGATGAGAAATTACTCTGCCAGGAGCCCTTGTCCTTCTGGGGAGATTCCAACTTTCCAAACATTAAGTGGGAATATCATACTGCTGTGAAAACAGGCCTTGGAAATTCTTGAGGTTTGTAGGAGATAATTTCTTGTCACAGGTACTCAGTGACCCAACTAGGCAAGATGCCCTCCTAGACTTGCTACTTGTGAACAGAGAAGGACTCGTGGGGGATGTAATGGTTGGCGTCTGTCTTGGCCATAGTGATCCTGAATTGGTTGAGTTTAAAATTTTTTGTGTAATGAGAGAAAAGGACAGCAGTGTTGCTCAAGAAAGCAAACTAAGCTACTCAGAGAGTGCTTTATCAGAGTACCCTGTATCCTCTTTTGAGGATCAACTGCTGGTCAGTTTTTAAGAACCACCTTTCAGAAACACAGGAGTAAGAAATTCCACTGTCTTCTAAGTCAAGCAAGCAGGGCAGAAGACCAGCTTGGCTGAACAAGGAATTCCTCATGGTAATCAAGAGCAAAAAGAAGTTGTACGATCTTTGGAAGCAAGGTCAGGCTTCAGAACAAGATTACAGAGCTGTGGGTCGTATATGCAGGAAGAAAACAAGAAAGGCCAAAGCACAATTAGAGCTGAAACTGGTCAGTGTTGTGTCAGACAAGGCTTTTTTAAGTATGTCAATAGCAAAGGGAAATCTAAAGAAAACATACTTGTTGAAGACTGTCACCTGACTAATAGAGATTAAGATAAAGCAAAGGCATGCAATGCTTTGTGTTTGCCTCAGTCTTTAGTAGTACTGATAGACATGAGTCTCCTGAGCCAGAGGACCACAAGAGTGGGAGCAGTGACTTTCCATCTGCTGACACTGAAATTGTCAGGGACCAGCTGCATCAGCTGAATGCTCACAAGTCCCTGGGGCCTGATGGGATTCAATCCAGAGAAGTGAAGGACCTAGCAAACACCATGGCAAGACCCGGCTCAAAGACATATCAAAGGTTATAAGAGTGTGGGGAGGTCCGTGCTGACTGGAAGCTTGCCAGTGTTATTCCAATTTATAAGAAGGGTGTGAGGGAAGACCCAGGGAACTACAGACCTGCTAGTATAACCTCACTTCTGGAATGAGATGTTTTCATTTCTAATTACCTTTCTTTCCTTTTACTAAAACCAGCAGACGAGGATCAAATAGTAGAAACTGTTTCTGTAACTTTTACGGTTTTTACAGTCATTTGCTGAATTTTCCCGGTATTTGCAAACAAGTTGGGGATTCCTCATAATATTTAAGAAACCGACACAGCTCTCAGACTGATGAAGATAGCAGAAGGTGGTTCTAAAAAAAATACACTGAGAAAGTGACAGTCAAATCATCTGTTATGTTTGCACTAGCAGCAAAGCGTGACACAAAGCTTTCAGGGGAAGGGCAGTGATACAGCACAGGTCTGTAAAGGTATCCTGTCTACCCCATGGGAAATCAGGGACAAGAATATTTCAGGGTCTGGTATACTGAAGGGTCCACTTGGAAAGTCTCTGGCTACTCAGCCCAGTACCTCACAGAAGCAGCAAGCACAAGGGAGCCAGTAGCACAGGCTAACAGCCAACCACTGCATGCCTTTAAGAATGCTTTACCCACAGTATACTGAAAGCTGTGAAAAATCCTGTAAGCAGCAGGCAGTAGGGACATTAGAGCAGCAGAAGTGCTGAGGCAGAAGCGGGGGATGGCTCTCAAAGGCTGTTTAGATGCCACATACAATTTCCTGTCACCCACAGCCATCTGCAGTGTGAGGGATTTCTGGAAGATCTGTGGGGTTTCCTTAAGAGTCACCATTAGAAGGTGATACCTCCTATAGTTTTTGGGATAAAATTGTTTCTCTGCTGTTCTCATATTCCTCTGCTAGAAGAATACATAGGAAGCTCTGCATATTTCACTATGCCTATTTCTCCTGAAGTGTGTGCATATCTTTGCATATGGGAATGCTGCTCTTTGCTTTCATCTCCTTACATTTTTCTAAGAATTTATGTTAATACAAAGGGCTTTATCCAGTAAAATAAACAGCAGTACTGAACAGTTTCCTTGCTCACCGTTCTACACACTCCTTTACCACAGCAAAATTGCCATCACCAATCACCTTCCCCACTTTGTACTTCTCAAGAATGGTAGATGACCCTGAAAACTTGTTTCCATTCACGCCTGAAAAAAAAAAAAAAGTCAATGATGCAAGCTGAAGTGTCAGCAGGATGCAATATATCCCCAATGGGTTCCACAGAGATAGAACAGTCACAAATGCAAAGCAAAACTTAAAAGTAAGCTGTTTTTTTCACTGCTTATTCCCTTGGTTTTATCTGAAATGTAAGAAAGAACAAGATAAACCCAGAGTTGTTTGACCTTTTAACACGCAAATCAATTCTTACTATGATTTTGTATAGGCATATTCTAAAAGTAATGAATGCAGTTAGAAGTTCTGAGTCTAGAATTTTCTGAGCTCAAATTACTTTTTTGAAGTACCTTTCTGCAAACTCAAAGTAAAAATGCAAATAAAATTCCTCTGCAATTCATGTAAAAGACCCAGAAAGTTTTATCTGCTGATTTCCTTCAAGATCCTGTGGCTGCTGCTGAAACATCCAAAGTGCAAATAATGCTGATAGACACTTATTTCAGTATTTTTAAAATATAAAACTTTACTCTAAAATGAAATTTTAAAATAATTAAAAATAATTAACATTGCTTTAAAGAGATAAGGAATGAAAGGTTAAATTTAGCTAATGTCAGTTGATAGGCCACTGGTTCTACCTGAAGTACAATCAGCTCTTTTGAGGAAGGCTCCTCCTTCAATCCAGCCTCAAACACATTTCTGGTGATACTGCAGGTCAAAATCAAATTCCTACCACTGATTTTGAAGAGCAGAGTCCACTAACATGCTACCACTTGACAAAAAATTCACAAAATTTGTTTCCTATCTTTACTCCTTGATGTATAAACTGTGATAACAATTTTCCCAAGATAAGTTTGTCGACAAGGTATCAAACATCTCAGAACAGAAAAGGATTTGGAGTCATATGGAACCACCTAAAAGTGCTAAACCAGCTGTCACCTACAACAAAATTTTTGCAAGGACTGTTAGCAATTACTGGTGTCCTACCTTCAGGACTCTGGCAACGGAGTGATTCAGGTACACCATTCACATTGGAAGAAGATCCACCATGTGGAGAGATCTGTGGATGTACACAAGAAAGTTTTATTTCTGATGGTAATCACAAGAAAGAGCCATATTAAAAAAGCAGCGAAGTTAAAAAAAAAAAACACCCTAAAACCACCTAAAACCAAGTCAGTTTAGTTTTTACTCCCACTGTGTTTTTACTCTTGCTTCCTCACAGTTCATCGTCATAAGAATACATCATCACTTACACCAATTTAAGATTCAGTCCCAATATTCCCATTTAGATAAGTAGTTGAACACATTTTAGTAAAAAGCAAAGAAAATTCCTTCCAGCTGCACCTACTTCCATCTATACACAACAGAGTCAGTTGTGGGGAGGCAACACAACTCATTTCCTCCTCACTGTACACAAGATCATGACAATAAACTCTGCGCACGTTTTCATGTCAGCCAGAGGCAGCCACCTCCAGACAACCATCAAGAGGCCAGTGCAGCAATCACATGCTGTCACGCTGCAGTCTAACACCTCTCTTCAGAGATGGCACTGTCTGAGGTTTCCCTACCTGAACTCTATCAATATAGGCTCTCTTTAGGGTGGTGCTGTAACATGCTAGGAAGGTAATAAAGAAATGCTTTCACAGCCATACCAGCTTTCATTTAAAGAAGAGAATTCTGGCATAGGTGGCCAGGTACCTCTACGATAATCAGATTTATTTAGTAATCTATCAGGATATATTTTAGGTTATCATAGATGTGAAGATTTATCACATCTACAAGCACTTCAAGTTAGATGTGCGATATGAAACCAGACATAGATTCAGTTTTAGTAGCTATGACACTGTAAAAAACAAGTATCTAAATGATTTTGAAGCATGATGGCTGAAGAAAACTAATTTTCCTGCACTAAAAACTTAATTGGTACTTCATCTGAATCTTCACAATTCTCCTTATAGTCATCCTGTCGAACTGCCCAGGGACAGACACAGTAATAAATTTTTATTTTAAAAAGGGGTGGAGGCATAGGAATGAATGCCATAAATAGTAAGATGTACTGGCTGTGTTCTATGCACCACTTTTATAAGCTCTCCCATTACAGTTATGTATGCTCCACAAAATTAAAATATATTTTAGATCATTCCCCCTCTTCTACGTAAAAATTCTTGCTGCTCTGTGAAGTTCTGTATCTTGTTTTCTTCATGGGCTATTATAGTAGCTCACCACTCCCCACATAAAGGATTAAAATGCTTCTCTGCCTTAAGCTCAGTGTCTGTTGAAATGGCTTTGCACGACACCGGGAATGCAAATGCAGCATTTTCCGTTTTAGCTGACATTGTCTGGTTACACTGCTGAATATTTTAAATCATTAACACTATTGTCAGTGAGAGAACTGAACTGACAGATAGGGATATTGTCTAAAGGCTCATGAAATGCTAATGAATGCTTAAGTTTCTAATGGCAGCTGAGCTGCCAAATCAGCTAAAGGTACAGTAACTATAAGCTGTACAACTTAGTTTTGCAGAGCCTCTAAAACAATGACATTTACTAGCATTTGGCACAGGAGTAGCATCAAACAGCAAGCAGTCAGCTACTACTCTGTTCCTCGATAATAACTGAAAACTAGGCTATGTTAATGCTGCTGTCTTTCTGAGTTATCTATTTATTTAACAAGGATCAGGAGCAAGGACATTTGGGTTAAATGACATTTGTGCAAAATCATGAGTCGGTTTTATAACCAGCCACATTTTCTTCAAGCACGAAGCAGAGCTAACAGAACAGATCACTCACTGCAAAGTATTAGTCATCGCCTAAAATATTAGTACTCTATTCTGGGTATTCAGTGAGTCACAATACATGGGAATATCTAGCCCGTATTTCCAACTTCCTTCAGTCTTGTAATCAGGGCAGAGCATGACTGGACACATTCCTTCTTACCACAGTATTTACAAGAAAGCAAACACTAACAGGAAAAAAGCTAAAAGGAATAAATAAAATAAAAAAAACCACCATAAATTATTGCTGCTGTTGTGGCTGAGGTGTTAGACCAGAATCTGCGATGGCAGGTTTAACCCTAGCTCTGCTACAACTACACATGTGGTGGGATTTTATTTTTTGTCTCATGAGAGTGTGAGGAAGGATCCACAGATATAAACCCATATTGTTTTGAAGTGAAATGGTACCTCAGTTGGCAAATCTTTGCACTCTGAATTAAACTAATTATCCGTGACACAACTGTCTGTGGAAACATTTGGGGATTTTTTTCCATATCAAAGGAAACACCTAACTCCTTGGCAGCTAAATGGGATGGTGGCTTCTACAGCATCCACCTAAACATTTCCTGTGTCTGTCCTTTCATGTCTAGAGAGAAATTAAGAACTTTGGCCACCAAGTTGCCAGGCATACAGAGCTCTTGTATACATTGTCATGTGCACATTCATGAAGTGCCAAAGAGACTAAACTGTAAGGTACACACACACACATGTGTGCAGACCCTCATCTTCGTGTCTGGAAAAATGCAGACAGAAACATGGGACACCTCAAAGTTCACCTAGCCAAACCCAGAAAAAGTAAGTCTATTATTGCTAAGAAAGGAAAGGGTACTCTCATATCTTCAGGAAAACTCCTTGGTATTCTCATAAAGCAGCTGTGCCTTTATGAAAACACTCAAACTGGCGATGAATCTAACTGCAGACTTTGAATATTTTAGTGAAACTGACTTAACTGCAGAAGCATTCTCTGAAATCTGGGGACACTTCGATAGTGTCATTGAAATTCATCCTGACAGGCTGCAAGAAGAAAGGGCTAAAACATATTCCGAATGGAAACAAAACATTATTTATATAATCAGTATTTCATTGAGATGTTGACAGTATTTATTATTATAATGATTAACAATAACATAATCTGTAAGACAGAAACTTTGTGTTTTTTAAGAGATACTTAGCCCAGCTATACTGAGAAGCTACTTTTAAAAATACAACAGCTAATTAGAACATAGCGATTACACCTCCATTAATGTGAGCATATATGGTAGGGCATATAGATATACCATGCACTTTGTTGCACTATTCTGAAGAACCAGAGAAAGATTTACACTTTTTCTAGAGAATTTTTGAGTGGCATCACATTATATAAAGCACGTAGCCAACTGCTGAGAATGGTGAAGGGACTTGACAATAGGTGCCATACCTCAGTTTCCCTACCAGCAAATTAGCCAGCTCTTCTATCCAAAAAAGATGCTGAACTGTAAATTCAACAAATGCATCCATTAAAGAGTCCCTCTATGAACTGCTATGGCACCTACGTCACTAGGCTGGATAATCACATGTAAATATTCTTAACATGCAACTACCCACAAAGCACATGTGTACAAAATTGAGGTGATTAAAAACCTTGATAAAGATAGGCACTAATCCTTCAAATCACTTAAGCACATGTTTAACTTTAAGTATATTAACATGCTCATTGAAGTAAAAGGAACTACACAATAGCTGAAAGTTAAGCATACTTAAGTTATTTGTTGGATCAGGTTATAATGCCCTTTCACTTCGGTCATTTGGTCAATCAATTGCAAAAATAATACTAAGATAAATTCAAACACAGTGCTACTTAAAACAATTGGGATTCTAAGAAAGGCCTCAATTGTAAAGTTTCTTTATTTGCAAAATTTTATTTTCTTTTTAAGATAGATTACAAGTCACTGTGGTACTTAATTTCAAGAGGGGACAATAAAGTACACCCAAGTAAGCATAAGGAAGTTATGACACCACTTTCCAAAATATTAAATTTATTCTAGTCTCTGGATGACTTTTATGGTACAAATTGTGCACAGTAACAGATGCACTAGAACAGCTAAGAGTCAAATTACCCCTAACAGCATTACATAAAAATGCACACTTAGAACCAGATAAAATTGTTAAACCTTTCAATTGTCACTTGCCCACAGAACAGGCAAAAGGACTCCTCTCAGTCAGCTGTCCCATGCCACCTAATTCTCTATTACCACTGTTAACACATGAACTAGATTTTATCTCTATGGAAATTTAATAGATGAACCAGAAACTCAGCACATTTGATCAAAGAAGAACATTTACAGAGTAGTCATTTACTTCATGCCCATACTTGTTATCTTTTATACCTAAATCTTCACCTTGAAGAAACCCTCTGCAAAGGCTGGATATCAAACTGGCTTACTGTATGTACTGAGCAATAAATAGCACAAGGGCACTCTGGCTGGAAGAGCTAAAAATGTCAGAAAGAAAGCCCTTTTCTTTAAAGATAAGCTGTTCATGAGGAGTGTTTCCTGAGAGGAACTTTCTGTGCCTGAACATACCAGTTATGAAGTGTTGTGAAGCAGAAGGAATCCTTGGGGACTGAAGAGACTTCACGTGGAAGGAAAAGTGGCATTAAGAGAATATGATGTAAGACTCCATGTCTGAGACTGAGAAAAAATTGCTGCTGCAATCAGCATCTTTTGCAAGCTGACTGCCTTGATGTTTAGCACTACTGCTTAAGCTCTACGTTGACTGTCAGACTACAAAAAGCTTAGCTAGGTTCTAATCTACAGTAAAATATTTTATTTTGCTCTGGCTTTTCAAATAAACAGTTTTTAAAGTACAGTTCATGTGCAGCTGCTCTGATGCTCTGCTCTTAACAGGTAATAGAAACATCAACCCTGATTCATTCCCTTTTTTCTGCTGCCTCAAGCTCCTATAAAACCATTAAATGCTGTTTCATCTTCTACAAAAACAAACATGTATGATTTCTACACAACAAATCACTCAAAATATTGCATTCCCAAAGCCAGAAAACTCTTAAATACACCTTATTCTGTCACTCTCTGCCATGGTATGTATATCTACATTTTCATTCAGCTGTAGTCATGGCACCTCCTTTATACAATTGCAGGAAGCCAAACTGCTTGTCTTTGCAGCAATGTAGTCAACAAGGGATTATTTAACAATAGGGAAAAAGCAGTAATCTCAAAATAATAAAACTGTTCCCTGCTTTCTCTGTTCTCCTCATCACTCTAACCAAAACCAATTCTACAAAGGAAAAAAAAAAAAGAGTTTCTGTTTTTTTATGTTGATGCTTACTCAAAAGAGTTGTTCCTACTAGAACATAATCAAGAAATAAGTGTGACTGAACATCACACTTGATCCTTTTGGAATTTACCACATAACATTTCCTATCTTTTAGTTTCAGGAGCACAGCTGGGATACTCCTACTGAAGAGATGCATCCTAATGGAATAAACCAAGAGGTGCTCACTACTTCAGTAACATGTCAAGTCTGAGGTGTTTAATTTGGTTTTGCTGTTTTCTTTGGTCACACGGGAATGAATTATTTGACACGAAAACCCAGCATCAATTAAATTCCCAATTGATAAAGTATAACAGCCTGCTTGAGTGAAATAGACAGTGAAGGGGAAAGAGGACATGTCCACTTTAGTGAGAATTGCTTGTTGCTATCAGAATTATCTCTGTCTTAATGGAGCTTTAATCGGCTAAAAGCAGACAAGACAGCAGTGGAAAAAACAAAGCAAATTATCTAGTTTCTAAAATTGTAATTTCATTAAAGACAGACAAAAGAGCATTTGTTAAACATAGTGCAGAGCAGCTGAGAGCCCAAGCCCAATGATTTTGGTGTCCTCTACTGTAAGCTCTATAGCAGAGCTGTCCAGACAAACTTTAAGACACACAGCTCTAATTTTCAGTGTCAGAACTATTACTGCTCTTGGAAATGCTTTATAGGAGAAAGGCTGAACTATATTGCTTTGGATAAAGAGTAGCTACGGGGTGGTACAGGACAACAACATAAAGACAGAGACCAACAGTAAATTACCTCAATGAACCAAATAACTTCGAACATAATTAAACAAAGCAATAAAAATTTAAAAAATTAAACAAATAAATTAAATAAAATATTAAATAAATAATTAAATAAAATCTTTTGTCAGAATTGTCACAGAAGCCTGGCAGAAACCAGTGCCATTACTCCTTGCAAAACAAAGGCTTGATAACAATTAGCATGTCAAAACCCAAATCTAAGTACTATTCAAATCACGTCCTTTAGCCAGTCTCTTAACTGCAAAAACAGTTTTCCACACAATTATGCAGCCTCTTCACAAATAGGAGTTCACCAATACGAGCTATTACTTGATGAGAATAATCAGTGCAAACCATCCAGGCTGCTTCAAGAAGGGTTGCAAGTGATGATTCCATAAGAAAATTCTCCTTGAAAGGGCAGCTGCACAAATGCAGCAATAAGACGCTCAACTGTGCTCCAGACTGTTCTTTTTATTTTACTGAGCCAAAGGCACAGAGCAGCCTCCAAGAACTGTAAATGTCACCAGTTTTTAAGTGGGAGAGGAAGGGAATTCTCTTAGTGCAACATAGAAAAATCTGCCAGACATCAGGCTGCTCCCAAAGGAGCTCCAGAAATGCTTTCAGGCAGGAGACTGCATTAAGGGGTGAAATTGTGTGCCACAGCTAAGGGTGTTTCAGATGAAATTCAGACAATGCTATAAGACTGCAAGGCACTGAAAAGAGGATACTACATTTATATAGGCTAAAGGAATATAAATTACTTGGAGGATTTCTGCAGTCAACGGAACAATGGCAAATTTGGAGAGCAAATTGGCATATTCAAGCCACCATCACCCTGTGCCTTTCCAAAGCTGAGTGTTTAAATGCTGCTAGCATGATAGAATACAAAAATCTTACTTCAAATCTATTCTCCATTTCATACTAGTAAAAATTATACCAGCAAGGCTACCCTATAAAATTATAACTTTTTTCCTTTTTCTTCTTTTTTTTGCCCCTTCAGCACCACTGAATATATTCAATGAATAATGGAATGTAGGGGTTTCCACGGTTCTTTTCTGTTTACCTTGAGTCCACGAAAGCTGCCTGGGCTTGTTGGTGAAGAACTGGAGGACTTTGTAGATTTTGGGGTAGATAACTGACTGCTTGGGGTTCCATTAACTGGTGAAAGCAATAAAAGGAAACAAATAGAATAGATTAATAAAAAATCAGAAACCGTAACTTGACTTTAGACATAATATATCTCTCTTGACAACTTATCCCTCAAGTCTGCATACAAAGACCAAAAAAGACTCCTCAGAATTTGGGAATAAATTACACAGTTGGATGCCACACAACTGTGCCTCAAAAAATTCACAAGGCTGGATGTGGGTTCAAAAAGACACACAAATATTGCATTGTCATTACAGAGACTAAAAAGGCCTATTCTGTCTTTTGCCAGCGCAAGAGTTTTGGGTTAGTAACAGCCAAAGCCTTTAAAAATTTCATCATTTATTGTGAAATCACACAATAAAATTTATATAGAAAAAAAGGTTAAAGACATTTGACCCTCCCTCTATTCATTTTGGATCAACGCCCTACTTTCTAGGTAGAATGCTTCATTTCTAGGTAGAATGTTTCACAGAACACAAGTTGTTTTTCCCCCTAGAAAAAAAAAAACAACAAGTATGAACTGCTTGGATTATAAAGAACTTCAGCAGCAGTTCAGAAAAAATATTGATTTAGGGGGAAAAACCTCAACAAGGGAAAAGCTGTAGGTTATTTCTGAACCTCTAATACAAGTGTCTGTGAAAACATACACTCCCTCCCCCTCTGACTTAAAGAGTCCATTTATTTTAAGTCCAGTTTTTCAGACAGGCCTCATACAACATCTGTTATCTCTCTGGTGACTTGAATATAACTTAGGTCAGTCCTTGTATCCTTCTGAAAAGAACAAACTGAAGAATTTCATTATGCAGACGGAATAGCACACTGTCCACCATACACAATTATGATGCAATGTTATATGATGAGACATTATTTCCATTCTATCTGAATCTCATTTTTTGTGGGAGAGAAAAATACTAGGTAGAAATTTAAGACCTAAAAATGTTCCATAGCTGATTCACAGTGATGAATTATTTCTTTATAAAGAAAAAACAACTCTGGTAAATAAAACTTAGCTTCAAATTAATTAACAGATACACTTGCAAATATCCTTACACATTGAGGTCCGTCATGCATCACTTCTTAAACAGCGCTATTGGATTTATTTTACAAGTGTCTATTGACCTAGTACACTAACATTCTCCAAGTGCTGAAGATGCCCTTCAGAGACTGTTTTTAAAACCATCTACCAGTAGGCCAGGCTGACTGCATTGCAATTTCCATAAATCCCTGTTTCTCACAAATGTCTTTCTCTGGTGTATGATGTTAAGATATAACTAATCAGCATTTCGCTACAGAGTAAGTCTGTCTTGTCGTCTAAGAACTTGGATTTACATACTCAGTTCTGTTGCAGGACTAGTATTTTCTCCTAAAAATATTCAGTGTGTTAAGGATATTTTTGTCTTGACTTTAACAAGGATTGCCTGTAAGAACAGGCAAATTATTTATGTGGGTTTTTCTAAGAAGCTAAAATATTTAAGAGTATATGTCCCTCTTGTAGACTTCATCACTTTGTTTTGGATAACCTTTTTGAAACCTGGCACATCAATACATCCTTTTTTTATAAAGAATTCGTAAGTATAACAATGAAAAAAAGGGCTACTGAATCCTGTTTTCTGCATGACCAAAAATGAGATACTTCAGTAGAAGAATCTGCTTCCAAATTACAAACTATTACTACAGGAGGAAAAGACTTTTGTTTGTTCACAAGTTCTTTTATATGGCTCAAAGAAATGTCACCATTTCCTGCACATGACCATTAAGGTCTACACTACAAGGCATCTTTTTCTTCTCTAAGTGCCTTCCATCCTCTTAAGCATTGAGAGAACCACTAAACCGTACCAGTGAAACTGGCTGGTTAACATAATGTTCTTTCCTTTGAAAAATGTCTAAGGAAGAACATCCCAGCCTACACTGACAGTACTGTAGCTCTCTGCTAATATCTTAGCTATGCTTGGTGGACAAGGGTGGTGTTCCGAGCCAGGGGTGTGACTAGATGACATCCAGAGGTCCCTTCCCACTTTTGTTCTTTTAAGACTCTATGACACATAGTTCACTCTGCTGAGGATGCTACTGAAAAGAGACATCTGTAGATTCCTCTTTGCCAGTGTCTTCTGAGAAGCACTGCGTTTGAGTTGGTACGAAACTGCAACAACAGGAAAAGCTGGAATTGGTAGTCAGCACTGCTTAGTTTGTGTTGGTTTTGGCTGGGGTAGAGTTAATTTTCTTCACAGAGCTAGCACTGGTCTATGGTTTTGCTGGAAAGTGTTGATAATACAGGAATGTTTTTGTTATTGTTGAGCAGGGCTTGCACAAGCATCAAGGCCTTTTCTGTTCCTCACATGGCCTGCCAGTGAGTAGGCTGGGGGTGCACAAGGTGTTTGGAGGGGACACAGGCAAGAGAGTTGACCCTGACTGACTCAAGGAGTACTGCAGACCATACGGCATCACACTCGGGAATAAAACTAGGGGGAATTTTGGCAGAGGGGTTGTTATTTATGAACTGGCTGGGCATCTGTCATTGGTCATTTGCATGACTTGTCTTTCTCGGGTTTAATTTCTCTCTCTTTGTTATTTTCCTTTGCATTACAATACTGTTGTTGTTATTAGTATTATTTCAGTTATTAAACTGTTCTTATCTCAACCCATGAATTTTCTCACTTTCACCTCTCCAATTCACTTCCTTCATCCTTCTGTAGCAGGGGAGTGAGCAAATGCCTACATGGTGCTCAGCTGCTCACTGAGGTTAAACAGCTAAAATTGCTGTTTCACAGAACAGCATTTTTTTTCCCCCCCGCACTCAAAAAACCACACAGGCAATCTGCACAGGCACAAGAATTGTACAGGTAAAAACTTGTCCGATCCTACTGATTTGCTGATTATTTCACGTATATTCCAAACCTAATTTTTTTATCTATTCTCTAAGCATAAATTCTTTTGAAATTTCTTTCCATATGCATGCCAATTTGAATATACAGGAAAAAAAATCTTTTCTGCCATTCTTAAGCAGTCAGGCTACAGTTCTTTAGCATATTGGAATGTTTAAAACTGAAAAAATCTACTAATACCACTTCAATTGTAACTTCTAATAGGGTCCAAAGTCTCAAGTTATTTGCTAATCAAATTGCATGTTACTTGTTTCACAGGTACTTTAACTTTAAACTAAAGGGTCAGAGAGGTTTCTTAGTGTTTTAGAACTTAGGCTGAAGCAATATAAGATAACAAAGAGAGATAAGAAAGTGCAGATAAAATGAAAACCTATGACATGGTTTTGCACTGATTTTTTCAGTAACACTCACTCCTGTCTTTTTTTGCTGGTTGAAATTTTCTGTTATAATAAGCTTTAGAGTAGACATATATAAATGGTTCCTCAGAATGCTCCATCTGTAGTCAAATTATACCTTTAAAAATTTAACTTTGACACCCTTAGCAGATGCCCAACAAGTAAAACGCATTATTTTGCTCAAATGATCTACTTCAACAAAAAAACAACACCCATTATGTCTCTGCTTCATCAAATGCAAAACGTGTGTTCCAAGCCTGAAAATATTCACAAACACAGCAAAAAGAATGCAGGTAAATGAGGAGGGAGGAGACACACTACTGATACACAGCCATAATGGTAATGGCTCACCTGGGGATTTTGCTGAAGAATGAGCACTGGAGTAGTGGCCACCCCTCTTTACTGTACTCATATATTTGACACAAAGGAAAAAGACATTAAGGAAAGAAGTTATTAAACAGCTCTGAACATGCATGAAAGGAAGAAGGGTAAATAAAGATAAGTAAAGACTACATGAAAAAAACAGGCAAGTAAACAGAAGGATAAATATCAGACATTTGGATAAATTTTTCAAATTAACCCAACTGAGGGGGGTCTAAGTAGAAATAAGTAAGGAAATGGCAGCACTGATTTATAAGCACTTTGCATAAAATTAATTGTTGATAGATATTCTACGTGATCTCATTGGAGGTAACAGAATTGCACGAAATTTAGATCAGTTGCAAAACTTTTCCCTTATGCTACATTTTTCTATGATCCTTCTTTGAAGCTTTACAGTTAAATACTCAACCTTTATAAACAGATTATAAATATTCTCCTTTGAAAGAATGCAAAGACAAAATTACTCTTACCAATGTTGATTAAGCAAAACAAATATTGATGGGGAAATGAGAATATGGAACATGTCACAGTTTTGAATACACACATAGGAGCTTACATGTATAGTTCCATTCAAAAAAGAGCATCATATATTTACATATTCAGTGGTTTAATTTCAGGGCTACTTCTCCAGGTCTGAGAGAAAAAAAAATTAAAGTTTTACTATATTTAGAAATTAAATGCAGAGGTTTAAAAAAGTTTCAAACCCCTTTATTCATTGCATAAAAGACTCAATGGTTGGAACATATGGTGTTCAGAACCATTCTGGAAATTACAAGAAGAAAAAAAATTCTCTGTTAATGGGCAACAGCATTACAGTACATCTCCTAAATTTACTTTAAACATCAAAGTCCTGTATTTCCTACAATATTTGGCTTACACAGAAAAAAAAAAATCTCAATTTTAAAACTTGAGGGTATACTCTACTTCAATGAATACAAATTTACCACATAACCACTCTGTAGTTAATGGTCTTAAAGACAATCAAGTGCTATGCTGAAAACATATCCCAAGTGTACAATTAGCACAAATCATTCCAGTGTTCATAAACTGAAATTATTTGTGCCTGTAATTAAAAAATAGAAACCATATTTCTTCCCAGAATAAAAAAAAAAGGCAAATTTTATTTTAGATTAGTATTAAATCTGTGAGACGAACTGAAAGAACATTCCTTTTCCCCTCAGGAAACAAAGCATGGCATTTATATTTCAGACAGAGTCAGAAGCTTTCCTCACCCTATTAAACAAATTCTAACTTCTATCTATTTCAAGTGTTCAGCTTTTTCCTAGAAGTAGTACCTGAGGCAGGTGATTTGCTTCGACGTGAAGGTCCTGGACTTTTGGATGCAGCGTACCTCATGGCAGACGATCGGGAATAAGAGGACTTCATAACACGACATTCTACAAAGCAAGCGGGTAAGAGTTTTGACAAGAGTTCAGAGTTACAGCCTTCCTCCACACACCCCTGGATGCTGGTTATTATCCAGAAAATGCCCTCATGTATTAAAAAAAATTTTAAGAGCATCTCAGAACTCTAACCTACTTAGCATAAAAACATATTTGAGCTACTCAAATACTGTATGTAACATTCTGCATATAACATTTCTTCACATCTCGAAGCTGGATTATTACTATAATTCAGGTCTGTACACATGCTGATGCCAAGGTTCTTCTGACAATTCAGTAAATTCTGCATGCTGTAATAGCAGTTTCATATAGGGTAACTGCTCAGCTAGCACCATTTCCCTTCTCTTGCAAAAAACTGATGTTGTGATCAATTTTTGAACGCTGAAAAATGTCTATTGTTTCCAAAAGGCTGAAACAATAGATTACTGTCATTTACCATCAGCTATATATCATCAAATAAAAGACAACCTAAGGGGAAAAGGAATCAATAGGCATACATGCACTGACACTTTGGAAACATTTCATTCCTACAGCTGGCATTGTTAGCAAATCATTCTGAATGGAATCTTATAAATTTCCCTCCTAATTTTGTCCCTGTTATTCATCACTACAGTGTCAATGTCATCATAATGATGATGCCATGTCATCATCAAAAAGAGTAAATTTGAGCTGCATGCCCTGCTAGTCACGTTCCAGTCTGTACCTAACCTGCTTTTCAGAGTTATTAGAGGAAGCAGGAACCACCAAAGCTGAAGAGACAGAGAGAGGAAGAATCCCTCCACCACTGGGTTCTCAGTGAGGAAATGAGCCCAATTAGTCTGAGCACCGTGTAATGTGAAAAGTAATCTTATAGCCTTAAAATGTGCAAGGGAAATTGGGATTATAGCCAGACTGGGATTTGCATTGTGAGTTAATACAACCATGCTCTTCCATTCCTGCATAAGAATAAAACCATAGCTATATTAACTACGTCAAAAAATACCCTTCTTATCACCTCCACACTTGCTGAATCAACATAATCAAGCAGTTTCTGGAAAAGCAGCATGCTGGCAACAATCAACAGAATCAGAGCCAGCTGAATCCTCCATCCATCCAAATGTATGGGCCAGTGGTTAGATATACACCTACACTTGCTGCAACTGAACATTCTGTAATGACATTATAACATTCGTAAAAATTACTAAAACAGCAGGTGCTTTTGCTGTAAGTTAAAAAAAATTCATAGAATCAAGGAATCAACCAGGTTGGAAAAGACCTCCGAGATCATCATGTCCAAACCTTGATCCAAAACTGCTGTGGTTACTAGACCATGGCACTAAGGGCCACATCCAGTCTCATCTTAAAAACCTCCAGGGATGGAGAATCCACCACTTCCCTGGGCAGCCCTGGCAGAGCTTGAGGCTATGCTCTCTTGTCTTACTGATCATTGCCTGGGACAAGAGACCAACCCCCACCTGGCTACAACCTCCTTTCAGGGAGTTGTAGAGAGTGATGAGGTCACCCCTGAGCCTCGTCTTTTCCAAGCTAAACAACCCCAGTTCCCTCAGCCTCTCCTCACAGGACTTGTGCTCTCCTCATAGGACTCATAGGTCCCTTCACCAGCCCGGCTGCTCTTCTCTGGACCTGCTCCAGCACCTCAATATCCTTCGTGAACTGAGGGCCCAGAACTGAACACAGTATATTCCAGGACAGTTCTAAAACTGCCTGCTAGAGGACTGCTTTTCCCTTGAACTTACATTATAAAGTTTCTCTTCACAGAAAAACAACTTTCACAAACAAGTTAAATTCATGAACTGTCCAAGGCCGACAGCACGGGCACAAAGTCCCAGTTTGTCTCACCTCGCAAACTGGAACGTGTGAATTGTCTGGCAGGACAAATTCAAGACCTGAAATGAGCTTGGTTACATATGCAATTTTTTAAAAATCTCACTAAGATAGAAATTTCGAAATTATCTTAAAGTCGCAGAAGTCAAAAGTGAACATTTTTAACAGATTTTAGATTTATCAGATCTGTGACTGAACCTCTCAAAATTCAATGCTGCTCTCTATGTAACTTTAGAGGCAGTGTCTGTTTTGCAGGAAAACAGATCAGCTTTGTTAGTTCATTTTAACAGCCTTACAGAATCCAGATGATGGTTTGAAAAAATGTTTTTATCCATAGGAAGATGTATTTCCAAGTATAGTTTCCTAAATGACATAACTCTTGAGGATTGAACAGAGGAGCTGGGGGAAGAGTTTACTCTTTCAGTGGGTTTAGGATGTACAATCTTACCGCTGTGATCCAGCACGAAGTCATCCTGAGCGTACCGGTACTTCTCAGGCCCACACGCAATGAAGACGTCGTCATCTCCAAAGAAGTCCTGCAAGCACGTTACCTTGACAGCAAAATATACAAAGCAAAATGAACAAATGCAGTACTTTCAAATACTACATCTTCAGTTGGTCAGCAACAATAAGTTTGTCTTTACCTTTTTGCAGTGACAGCATAATGTTGTTTTGTAATCATACAAACACTTGAGTTCCCCAGTACTTCAGCTCTCTAGTAGTGCAGGAAACCTCAGGGCCAAGAATGTAAAATATGACTGCTCCTTACCTCCAAAAACACCTTCTCTTACATTTAAGACCTGTATTTTTGCCAGTAAACTATATAAGCACACTGATGACTTTTGCCTTTAACTACATATGCCGGCTGATGACTTTGATAGGAATATATGAAAACACTATTCAAATATCAAAGTTTCTTGTATTCTTATATTAATTGCTTGCAGGAAAATCTGTTGAGTTAAAGAGATTGGATCTGGAATTTGTTTATTTTTATGCTCTGTTTTAATGTCCTATTTAAAAAAAAAGGTAATTAATAATCAAGAAAAAAAGAAATAGAGTCCCTTCCATGGTCTTTGCAGTTGTCTGTTCTTAATTATCCCGGTAATGATGTTGCAACGTAGTTCAAGAATGATGGGGGTATCAGAAAAAAGCACATTTTTTACATTCTTTAAAAACACAAAACCCAAAGGCCTTTAAAATCTTCAGTCTCAAAAGCCAATAAAAATCAGTGTGTGAAGGAGCAAGTGCCTGCTTTAAAAACAATGAAAACCACAACAAGAAATTCCACTGAACTCAGTCTAACTCCCCTTGTAAGAAAAAAAAAGGGGTTGCAGATAACAAGCTGGTTTTTATAATGTAAACAGATTAAAATTTTACTGTGTAAATGTTTTCTTCTTTTTAATACTGCATGCCCAAATGAGATCTGGAAGTAAAAGCTATGTAGAAGCTAAGCAAATTAAAATCAGTTGGTAAACCCACAAAATTAAAGAGGTAAAACAAAAAACTGCTTTTAGAGAAACTAGCTCTTTTTCCTTCCCTGGGTACCTGTCAACAACACCATTTTCATATTTTACCCACTGTGGTAATCCTAAACATCAGCAGAACTATGGGAAGGGGTCTCTACTGCCTGCAATATTCCGAAAAACACTCAGAATATCAATGACCCTCAGCTCTCTGCAAGACCAGCACAGGGCATTCCCCAGCAGCGCAGTTGTCATGGTAGCTAACCCAGGAGAACAGCCGGATGCTCACCGCAGTGCCACATGCGGTATCCAGCATTTGTGTCACTGTGTTATGCAGTCAAAGGGCTCCAGTCATCACCAAAATCCTTTTATTCTTATTTTACCACTGCAATGACAATTTGCTCTTGTCGAGGAGAGACATTTTCAGCTCTGCTTGAAACAGCTGCTTCTAGATAACTGAAGAGGCAGTAAAAACTGCATTCATACAGCTGTTTTGTTAACTTGGGATTTGTTCCCCTCTGCCTAATAACTCTCTCTATCAATAAGAGGACTCATCATCATTTCCACATATTTCAGGAATCCAGCAACCAGCCCAAGCCCACCACTACAGGAAAAGCTGTAAGAAATGTTCCAGAACACTTATCCCACACAGGCAGAGATGTTCTGTGAGGCACAAGTTCACACCCAGGGCCCCTAAAACTGGGTGCCATTTCCGCAAGTTCTGCCTACCCACCACTGCTCTACTCATGCCCCCAGTGCCTTTGCAGTGCGTTTCAAGCAGGTTGGAGTTAAATGTTGTGGTTTAGCAATGCCTAAAATAATTCCTTCTGCTCCGATTGAAAGCCTTGCCCTCACACCTTAACCCGTCCAGTCTAACATCCAAGCCGAAGAGCAAGGGAGGAGGAAATGACAGGTTTTATGTCAGACTCTGGGAAATACATAGGGATATAACTGCACGTAGCAGCATCTTTTTGTTGTTTGCAGAGCAATTCTACAAAGGAAGGGTCAGATTTGTGCACAAAAGCTGTCAGGAGCACCCTTAGAAATGCACCGGAAAATCTGCTAAAAATGGAGATTGGGAATGAATAAAGAACTTCATGAAACATATTAACTCCCATAGGGGCTTTCTCACACGTTCATGTATATAGTTTCCCCAGGCAAGAATACACAGGAATAATCATGAGTGCCAGTGATCAGACAAACTGCTGGAGGTGGAGCAACACCTCCATCTCGGAGCTCAGGCTAATTCCAGCCTCTCATTCTGCTCACACGCTGTTGTATCTGACCCGTGTGACTTCCACCTGTCAGTCACACACCACGAGAGACTTCAGCTTACTGCAAAACAGACTAAATACACATATAACTGAAAGCCAGATAAGTGCAGCTATGAGAAGGCTTTACATAGATGCTTGCTATATTCCAGCAGTGAATACTGGAAGTCCTCCTCCCTACAAATAGTCCAGAATGGCAACACAAAAAATTCACAAGAAGGAAATAATATTGAACAATTGTATGCAAGGAGGAATAAAGATCTGCTAAAATTTACAAGTTCCTAATAACCCCACATGATGAGGTGAGGGAAGCCTTTTTAAAATCAAGCTTATGGAAATGTGTTTTCCTAAAAGGACTTTTTCTAGGCTTTTATCATAATAAAGTCAAAGGCGCATCTCTTGAGGTGCACACTGATGTTAAAATGAAGTCTTCATGTCCTACAGGATTAAAATTAATGTACGCAGTGTAATTAATGATAACAGCTCACTTAGTATGCAGGAAAATATAAAGACAATGCTGAAATTAATAACTTCTTTGCGTGTGTTTTTAAATGTTGCAAATTCACCATGGTCTAACTTGCAAAACACACAATTCTGCTCCAAAGAATATCTGTCCTTAGGTCATATAGGAGTTGTCTTAAAAATTTGATCAGGATTCAATCAGTTTAGAAATTTAAAACCAAAAAATTTTGAACAATTTTTTTTTTTAAGAATGGCAGTTATTCCAGTAAGTTAGGGATCAAAACTTGGTTTGTCAAACTAGTGCACAACAATGTTGCTTCTTTTATCACTAATCCTCTATATTGTCTCACCCACTCTTCGTTTTGCGGTGCTCAGCACTAAAAGAACCGTTCTGGTCTTCAAAATCTTCCCTAAAATGCCTTTAAAAGGTATTAGCAAAGCTGCATAGGAGTGTATCACATCAAAACCAGTCAAATACGTAGTCCTTCATTCAAATAACAACTCTCTTGCTATTCCTCATGCTGTGAGCTTTCATGCGTGAACTTGAAAATGTGAAAAGCTTTACACACCTTGAAGAAGTTCAGCACCAAAAGCGGATTTGATATTCAACAGTGCTGAAAGCTTTCTTTAAATTAGTCGTCAAGTAATTTTTGAGATTCAGATCTGGCCACTTCCTACTTTACAGCCACAAAAGCTCTAGACAAGTACCTTCTCAATGCATGCTTTCCATCACTGCCTTTGCAGTAAAGCTCAATCAGAATGTCTCTCTCCTGTCTGTGGCTTTAATTACCACAGAAAATGCTCTTTTAAAAGAACAAAATGAATATGATTTGTTTGTCCACAGGGAAAAAAATAAATCTACCTTAAATCTGACTTTTTTTTTTTTTTTTTTTTTTTTTTTTTTAAACGGAAGGCATATACAGAGCTAAACAATGAAGTAATTAAGTTTTCTGGAAGGTTTATCATTATAGCCAACACTACAAAGGCTTCCACCAAAGAAGTTTCTCACTTCCGTGAATTCTTTTTTTCCCCTCCATACAGAAAACAGAAATATATTTCGAAACAGTCCTCTAGGAACACTTTAGAAAAATGTAATCTTGTTAACTTTAAAGTTTCAATTACCATGTTTAAAATATTTATTTCTAAATACAACACCCATTCCCATAGAAACATTGCCCATATCCTGCTGGTAACACCACTGCCTTCCCCTTATTTAGAATGAAAAATGACTTAGTGCTGCTCCTCTGACAACTCAAGACTTCTCAGATTGTCCTGTTGTACTACTTTTCTTCAAAATATGTCACTAATACACGGCGGAGTGGATCACATTTGCATAGGACTGAACTGGATTTTTACTCAGTCCTTTAAAGATACTTCTAATGGCCTAGAATTACAAGAAGGAATACAACAGAATAGGGAAAAGCAAAAATGTTGACTGAGAAGTTTCAGAATAAATATAACTTAAACTCAATATTTCATTTTCTTTTTTAGTAGAGTCACTACAGCATTATTGTGGGCCTGTTTTGTCAGAATCCTTTAACTTGCATTCTCACCACAGTTTTCTGAGAACACGTGCAAAGGACTCAGGGTATCACTGCTGCTTCATGGGCTCAAAAAATATCAGAAGACAACATAATTCAAACAGCAGTATCAGAAAAATTAAACTGTAATTGGCTTCAATGGCTAAAAACCCAAACAAGTATGCAAGTGGCACAATGAACCAATGATTCAAAACTTGAATTGCTTCTTATAAAAAAGGCAGTCTTTTCTCATAAATTTTCCCCAGCTGAGGACATCTTGAAACACTGGATGAAGTTTATTGAAAAAAAAGACCTTTCTAAGAGAGGTACATATGACTAAATATTCATTATGTTACAGAAGCGTCATAACTAAAAACAGTTTGCAAGACAATAATGTTAAAGCACACAGTTATAAGCACAAAAAACACGGTTTACATGCAGAAAAAAAAAAAAAGTGAAAATGGGGTGTTGAAAAGGGAGAGAAACTTATCTATTTGAAAAATCAAATTCCTGATCCACTGCTGTCTACTAATGCAGTGTTTTTATGTCTCATACACCCATCATATTTACCTTTTAAAATAGGCTTATATTACTGACAGGTATTTATAACCAAAGAAGTTTGCTCTTTCCAAAGAAATACTTCTTCAGTCAGATCAAGCCTCTGGACTAGAATATTCAAATTGTGATCCATACGGAAATCTCTTTCCCATTACTACCACACATGCCTTGAAATGTAATTTAAATCAATCCCTACTCCCACCTCTGGATCTACGAACAGAAGATATTTTCCCTTGGGAAGAAACATGAATAATGATCAATCTTTTATAGACAGAATTCAACATGCATTCAACAATTGCCCTTTATGATGAAGTTACAATGGAAAAAAAATTGAAAGAAGTGAACCTTATCATGAATGTATTTGTCCTCCAATCTCCAGAAGAAAAATACTAAAAAAAAAATTAAGAGACTGGTGCCACAGGGATTTTATAAAAACTTGACAGAGTAATGGAAATTCAAATTCTCTGAAATCTTTAACGCTAAACAGAGTTTTGTAATCATATATCAACAGCCTCCAGCCAGGAGCTCACTGGATAAACTGTATTTATTCCAGCTCTACAAATATACTTCATTCTAAACGTACCAGGAAGAGCTGTAAAGACAAATACTTTGGTTTAATTTAGTATGTCTGATTCCATTTGAGTAAGCAGCTACAGGACTGTACAATTTAAGTCTGGAGAGCCACACCCTCTGTCTGGGGAAAGCTTCTCTGGATGACAAATTCTCTACAGCAGCTGCAAATGGAACTAAAACATTAAAACTGGAGAAGATATGTGAGATTATTTGTATTTGTTTTAACAACGGAAGAAATATTTGTAGCTATTGACTTCAAGAAACAGGATATGGTGTAAATATTTTTAAAAGGAAGCACATAACATAGGAGGCAAAAGGAAAACTGGCACGCACAGTAAGAGCTGGATTTGTGAATGTATTTTCAGCTCAGCAGTTTGAGGCTGAAATTCTTGAAGAAAGGCTGTGTGTTTTTTCCCATGAATTGCTGGGAAACAAAAGAAAAGACAATAATGTGTTAAATGTCAGTGTGGCAAATCTAGATACAATCTCTCTGTACTGCCTTCAGTGTGAGGAGTCTCCACATTTCTACTGGGAAATGCTGTTCCTCTTTGACTGGGACAGATTACAACTATGCTGTCCTGATGGTTCTGCCCTTTGCCCTTGGTATCAGCTTTTTTTTCTGAGTAAGCAAAAGTCAAATACTTGTCTATTTTGCCAGTCAGGTCATATTTGCAATCACCATTTTTGTTTCCCCTTTTGAAATACACTTAGCACTGCTACTTCCCCTTCACTGCCGCTCAGCATCATTAAAATTCTTGAAGTGTTCCTGAAGCTGCCAGCCTCACATTTCAAGGGTTTATACGAATCCTATAGTGCAAAATGCAAGGAAAGCACTTCTGCAGAAACAGGTCAGTTGTCTGTTTCCTATTTCAGTTCCATCACCAAGAGGAGCAGGCTTAACTTTGAAAAGAAGTTTCCTCTGGGCAGCCTCAGGAACTCAAAAAGGAAGGTGAAAAGGGCATTCCCACCATTTCCAACTGAGTATCATGATTTTAACACAGCTTTTTTTACCTTGGAACTTCCCTTTGGTCTCTGCACTTTCTCAGAATAGCGTGACCAGGGGAAAGAGGGTGTGTTTAACCAATATTCTTAAATACTTACTAAGCCATCAACGCCCTTCATGATTGGAACAAGAGGCACAAGAAGTTCACTACTAGATTATGGCAGCTATTTGCCTGGTTATACTGAGTCATGGTTCCTCATATGTCTTCAGTAAATAGCTAGAGAATAGCCAGATGGGTAGCTAGAATACATTCAGGAAGTAGAAATACAGAGAAAACTCAAACCAATGAGCCCCTAATATGCCCCTTTAAAAAATACTGTAATTGCCAGAATTTTTTTTTTTTTTCAATTAACAACCTAGTCACTTGGTAGAAATGACAAAAAGTGTCAAAGGCAACTACACTAAGCAATTTGGAAGCAGGCAAAAAAGAAACTCTTCAAGGGCCAGAAACCTACAATGTACACAAGAACAGCAACAAAACCCACTTCTATATCAGACACATAGTAAACCTGGAAAATCAGGTCAAATGATAAGATTCCTGCTGGTGTAATAAAGAAGCACTTGACACTTGCAAAAGCTTCTGTTCCTCCCCAGCTTATGTCCTCTGTGACAGCTCTATTACAGAATCTCTCCGGGAATTCCCAAAGTAAAAAAAAATATACAACACCAAAAGAAGGGTAAGCAAGCTGCTAACATTTGATGCAAGGCTTGAAAGAGCTCAAATGTTACTAAAACTGGGCACATCTGCCCAAAACAGCTACAGGGTAGACTGGGGGCTCCTAAAGTTTGAGGACATAAAACCATGAGCTTGATAAACTCTAGAGAACTTTCCTACTGGCTGTTGCTGTGAGGACTATGTGATGCATCGTAACAACTTCCCCAACAGTCAACGTCCATGAGGTAATTAGCAGACAAGGAGAAAAAAAACCACTCCTTTGTTCTCTGAAAATAATTGGAATTAGGTCAAATACCTCTTCATTTCTGATGCTCAAATGAACTGAATGTCTGCAACTGAAACATGAAAAACAATAACAGAGATAACATCATGCAGAAAGAATGCAAAAGTATCAACATTGTTACAAAATTCAAAAATTCATTACCTGATCTTCTGGTTTATGACTGCGCATCTTGACCAGCAAAACTACTTCAGACTTTTAAGACTGTGATTTTTCTTTCTATTAACTTACCATATTTCTGGGCAAAATAAAGAAACTTTTTAAACGTGGGGCTTTTAGGTTTGTCTGCAATTTACTCAGGGCTCTAAGACTTTTTTAACAGTACCAGTTAACCTGTTTATGGAAACATGTTGGCAGTTCTTTTTCTCTATAGTTAATTCAAATAGTTCACTTGGTTTTGGTCTCAGTCTGCAAAGTCCCTTTTAGACCCATGCAGTTGGTTAGCTTTAGACTTCAGAGCAATTCCACCACAGTCAATGAAATTACTCACATTTATGAAGCTATACACAACCACAGCTTGTCAAAGGTCTCAGGACCTTCTGAACTCTGCTGGACACTGCAATAAACCATAAAATAAATCTGATTTCTAGGTGAGAATTTCCACAAGACATTGTCTAATTTACCATTTGAGGTTTGGCATCTCAAATCTTTTGTCTTGTCCTTCAAGTTTATTAAATTCAGAGAACAGTGGAAGAAAAAAGTAAGTTTTCTGTTTCTAATAATTTGTAAATGCTGAATTTGTCTGCCTTGGACAAAGGGAGCTCATTAACCTATTTAGGAAAACAGAAGAAAAAACTGAATCAAAGACCATAATGAGAGCAATTCTTCTATGCCAACTTCCTAAATGATTATTTAATCAGTGGCTGTGTCACATTATTACACTGACCATTAGAAAATGAACCTCATTTCACTGATACTCCATGACGAGGAACAGCAGTGAAAAAAAAGGGGAAGACAAATCCTTCTGTCTCACAGGGAATCTGAAGAGTAAGAAAGAAAACAGAAATGTTAAATCTTTGCCTGCTGCCTTGTAAACAGAGAAAGTTTGGCAGTAAGCCCAGGAAACGCCTAATACAGGATGACAATGCAGAAAGACTGAGCAGACAGCCTGGTCAGGTCACCACAACTCATAAAGCCATACAGCTATTGGGAACAGATGATGGAATAGAGCATATATCACATTTTAGTTTTATCTCAATTTTAAAAAGGGATTTTTGCATATTGTTTTTAACATCTCAAAATTTAATTCGGAGAATGAACACAGAGAGAAATGGAAGATCTATTTGGATCACACCCAAATAGATCATCCTCACTGCAATGGAGATGACAGGAAGGAAAATAAGCTGTAGGAATATGCATAAGTTAAAGTGAGCTGCTACATGTATCTATTTCTCAAAGCCTTCCAGTAGTGTAGGCCTTTCTGGCAAAGTCCATCCACCGTTTTTTCTAAAAGGGTAAAACTGATCTCTCTGCAAAATGGCATTTCAATTATTGCACTGATTATGTGCAGCTATTTAGATACTGGAAAATTACAGATGAAAAGGACTAAAATGCTGGAAATCTTCAATTATTTTGAATCACACTGTACAGCTCATCTATCTCTGTAATGCAAAACACCCTCGAACAACCCTTCCCCTCAGTATTATCCACTACTTCAACAAGAGTCTGTAATTTCAGTATATTAAACAGTGAAATTTAATGTCATGCTTCTCAATTTCATGAGTTACACAAAGAAACAACAGCCTTACTAAAATAAACATGGAGTAAGTGGAAACTGGAAACAGAAAATTTGCAAATGCAGCTCATAATACCAACATAATCCAGTTTGTCTGAAGAGAAAAACAAACAAAAGTGTTTTCAGTTATCAGACAAGGATATCTTTGCCCATAGGTGCATTAACCATACCATCTCACAAGTCAGCATAACAGACTCTTTCCTTAGGTGGCATAACTGGGAAGTCTAATACAGAACCAAAAATAGCACCTGACTTCACACAGCTAACCTTCCATCTTACCACTGAGCAGCTAGTCTAAAAATAAAAGCTACTGGTATTACGAAAGAATATTAAAAGAAAAAGTGTACTTATAAGGACAGATATCTGTCTTGTCTAATTCAATAAAATCTTACTGATTTCACAACACAAATGCAGTTAAATTTTAAGTCACACCATTTTTTTTCCCCATAAAATCACCCCTTTTGCACTATTAGAGAAATCAGTGCCTTTAGCTAATCACCCTACTTGAAAAACACGGCAGTCACATACTATAGAAAAGTTGGATAAACCAAAATTATATGGGCAAATATACAATGTACTTTCATGGTTTTGATTCTTTAGATTAGAAGAGTTGCAGTGCCACGTAGTAGTAATTTAATGCAATGTAA